TAACAATCCACGTAGCCACGGGATGACTTAATCGCTCCATCTCCATGGTGGAAGTTCCTCCGTTTTGTTCCCTATTTTGGCTGTCACTTCCGATGTACGTGGAGGTGCTAAGTCCGAATTACTTCTTGCTCTGGTGTAGAGCTGGGGAGGTATGATCGTGGAGAGGTCTGGAGGTGCAGATATGAATGCTTATATTCTAATCTTGCGTATTGTATGTTTAGGAGCAAATGCCACTGTCGATATTTACATAACCACAATTATATATGGTCCATAGTTTTGGTCGCATGGCCGCAATTGCACTGTTATTAAGCTAAATCACAAACATACGAGGCTTGCGTGTCCAGGGATTGCGCCCTCTGCTGTTCTGGAGTGATTCCCTAACAAAGCTGGGGGCGTAAGGGACTGACGGACCAGGGGGGAGCGGGGGTTGGAACTTTCATTTGACATTCATGGAGATGAATGATAACATTGCAGGTCCTAAACAATTTACCCATTAAACACGTATTGGGAGGGTCCTGCATTGAGATGTTTGGCCAGTTCCTCTGTTCTGTTGTTTGGTTCGTGGAATAGAACGGCGGTGCCCGGAGAAACCCCCCACCACCACCACCACGACGGGGTAACACAGATCCACACAGATAATAATTATACTGGTAGGAACCTCCTGGTTACACCAGCCCACAGGAGATTATTGTGTCCGTCGTGCAGGGAGGGGCTTGGTGGGGAGGGGCTGGGTGGGGAGGGGCTGGGTGGGGGAGGGGTGGGGCTGGGTGGGGAGGGCTGGTCACCCCGTGGTGCCCTTATAAAACTCAACGTTTAACCTACTCACGCCGGCTTGTGCCCGCCCTCACAGTCGGGCATATTTGCGGAATACACCACGCCGCCGTTGACCCTGGCCATTGACCGAGTAACCCAACGTTCCTACCAGCTCCCTCCGCAGGAATGTGTAATATCGCAGAGACACACACACAAAGACACACACAGAGATACAAAGAAACAAAGATCCCCCGTATAGCCTTAACAGATTGTAGGGGCAAGTGCTGTTAACGAGCACCAGAGATACACACACAGAGGCACACACACAGACACGCACACAGACACACAGAGGCACACACACACAGACACACACACAGACAGACACACGGAGATACACACACAGACACACACGCACAGACACACATACACACACACAGACACACACAGAGACACACACAGATGCATTCACGAATCCGCTTCTGTGCTCGTGCTGCCACCACGTGGCCAGGGGCCGACAGCGCACCACGTGGGTCCCTCCTTTGCACACGGCGCGCGTTTACGGTATCTGTCGTAAACGCGCGTCTCCCACAATGCACGCCGCCAGCATCGCCCCTCCTACCCCGCACTTTACGACGACGGCTGCCGTAAAGGAGATCGTCCCTGGAGCCCACGCTGGTGTTTAAATGCCCGCGGTTGAGTTGAGTTTTGAGTTGTTATTGTTGTTATCCTCTTGTATGTTTATGTATCATGTTTATGTATAATGTTGATGAATAATTGTATGTATAACGCTGATGTATCGTGTTTATGTATAATGCTGATGTATCATTTTTATGTACAATGTTTATGTACAATGTTTATGTATAATGTTGATGTATATTTTTTATGTACAATGTTTATGTACAATGTTGATGAATAATTGTATGTATAACGCTGATGTATAATGTTTATGTATAACGCTGATGTATCATGTTTATGTATAATGTTGATGTACAATGTTTATGTACAATGTTGATGTATAATATTCTTAGGTTTTTTCGGTAAAGTCACGTAGGTAAAACATTAAAATTAATCAAAGGATTTATTTTACTTTTATTAATTTTAATGTTTTACCTACGTGACTTTACCGAAAAAAACCTAAGAATATGAATCCTTGCAGTCACGAAAGCTTCAAATCTAGAATTGATGTATCATGTTTATGTAGAAGCACCGTATGGTGAACTTCTTTCGCACCGTACGTAGCCAACCTTGCTCATCGGAGGCGCTCGGCGAGGGGAGAGGGACAACCAAACGCAACAAGCAGCTTCGAATAAATTCGGGGCTAGTTTTCAATCTCTAAAAAGCTCCAAGCTCCAGTAGTGGGCGTCCTTAATACTGGTAGGAACCACCTGGTTACACCAGCCCACAGGGGATTATTGTGTCCGTCCGTCGTGCATCAAAAAATGGGAGGGGTCGGGCTGGGTGGAGAGGGGTGGGGAGGGGAGGGTGGGGCTGGGTGGGGAGGGTGGGGCTGGGTGGGGGGTGGGGCTGGGTGGGGGGTGGGAGGAGTGGGGCTGGGTGGGGAGGGGCTGGTCACCCCGTGGTGCCCTTATAAAACTCAACGTTTAACCTACTCACGCCGGCTTGTGCCTGCCCTCAGTCGGGCATATTTGCGGAATACACCACGCCGCCGTTGACCCTGGCCATTGACCGAGCAACCCAACGTTCCTACCAGCTCCCTCCGCAGGAATGTGTAATACCGCAGTGTCTCCTACTACTGGCTCTGGTCTGGTCACCGTGCCTGGCACTGGCTGATGACTCGTCACCAGCGCCTTGGATGGGACACGGTGTTTTGCAGCAGCTGTCTTTGGCTCTCGGGGGTAGTCGGAACTTGGGGGGTGCTTGGTTAGCGGCCGAGTTGTTTGTATCACGCCGCGGTGGGGGGGGGGGGGGGGTCTTTTAAGGTCGGTGCATTGCTCATGGTCGCCAGCCGTGATCTATCCACTGCTGGATGACGCCTCTCCAAACGGTCGCAGCGAGGAAAGCGCCCACGTGCGTTTTGGGTTTCGTGTGCAAATTTATTTATCTTCTTAATTGTAGACACGCGCCACGTGTGAAGAAGGTGATGTTTACGTGATGCTAAAATGTCTAATTATTTTTGTGCGTGGTTAATAACAAGCGGTTGGATTGTTGTGGAAACTAGTGTCAAGATACGGGGTTTTTTTTTAACTGAGAAGTTTTTTGTTGAATGTTCCTCCTCGTGGTTAATCCGCGCTGTCGCGCGCTGTTTTCGTCTCGCTCTTCCCCTGCATTGCAACAAACTTCCCCTTCAATCTTGATTTGAAGCTTTCGCGACTGCAAGAATACTCTGATAGTGCGCTGTTTTTGAGTTGTACGCCTTTTGGCGTCATCTGGTCCAACACCAATGGAGACTAGGCTCTAAGAAAAGCTGTCTCGGGTGTGGGACCAATCAACTTCAAGGACAGTGCATATCATTATCAGAGTTGTTTCTTTTTGTTTGCATTTTGACTGCTTGTGTTGTGGTTATTGCAAACATGATCCCTTGTATAAAGGTGTCAGTTTTTGTACCAGTTGAAAGGGTAAAAACCTATCACTAAGTGTTGTCTTTGTGGTGTGGAAATTCGCAGTGAAATAAAATCAGCTTTTTTAAAAAAGATTCATTGTTTGGCACCACCCTTGCCCGTAGTCCATGTCCATGTCCAGTCTTTGACGTTTACTTTTGAGTTCTTGGGAATTTCGATCTCCCTCTCCCCTTCGTCTTTCACCAGTCTGCCTCGCGTGGGATTTGAACTCATGTTCTCTGGGCACGGCGGTAGTAAGAGCCCAAAACCAGAGCTCTTCCACTCAGCCACCACAGCATGCCTTGCCAGCTCTTTCGCTTGTGGGGCCAAATCATCTTGGAAGGAGAGTTTTTTTTTTATATATAAAGTAGCTTCATCCACCAGATGGCGGAGGGGAGGTTTACACTCAAGCTGTATTGGCTGCAACGGAGTTCCACACAAATCAACTTGGCCCCGTGAGAACTCTCCCAGTTACCCTTATTTATGTTTTGGTGTATAAAAAATAATGGAATCCGTGGCCTGGGTTTGAACCCAGGGATCTACCTGCAGTACAAGTTTCCCAAGTCTGGGACCCTACTGGTTGAGCCACGCTGTGTGGCGTGGTTGGCCATGTGTTTTTTTGGGATAAATGGTGAGAACACGATCTCCTCTGTATGCAAGTTACTAAATAGGTGTTGCCTACAGATGACAGTAATTACTCTTTCAGATGTTTTGGAGTTAAGCAGCTTCCCTCACACCTCTGGTTGGGGTTTTCGATGAACGTGGGGAAAAAAAATCAACACATGCGTAGGTACAAGGATAACACTTAACATTCCACATTTTAACACATTCCTGCGGAGGGAGTTGGTAGGAACGTTGGGTTGCTCGGTCAATGGCCAGGGTCAACGACGGCGTGGTGTATTCCGCAAATATGCCCGACTGTGAGAGCGGGCACAAGCCGGCGTGAGTAGGTTAAACGTTGAGTTTTATAAGGGCACCACGGGGTGACCAGCCCCCACCCAGCCCCTCCCCTCACCCAGCCCCACCCTCCCCACCCAGCCCCCCCTGCACGACGGAGGGACACAATAATCCCCTGTGGGCTGATGGAACCAGTGGGTTCCTACCAGTACTAAAACCTCTTGCTACACTGACATCCTCCTGGCCCAACAAGCAGCTGATACTGACTACGCCCGATGTTCCCAGGAAGCCTCCCAATCCAAGTGTCAATCACACAAAGCCTCCACTCATCTGCTGACAGCGTCCTCGTGTCAGATGGGCCCAGAGGCCTCGCGTTGCTGAACGTGGCGTGGGCCCGTCACTGATGATCTGAGTTGGTCTGGTAGACACGACGACGACTAATCCGCTTCAATTGTGCAGAGTTGTCACCCGCTCTGATCAAACATCCAAGCCAAGCCTCGCACTATCCTGGGCCTCTCAAGCGTTGCTTGTACGTTGAACTTCTTTCGCACCGTACGTAGCCAACCGTGCGAATCGGAGGTGCGGGTGAAGGACAACAGATACGCACACAAAAAGCAGTTCAATCTCGATGATTTAAAAGTGTATGGCTCCCAATGGCTTGGCGATATGACGCTGGGTGCATTCAGGACGCTTTGGTCTGAGCAAATGTACTTGAGGAAATGGGCCAATGTTCATGTTGCATATACTGCATACAGTTTATGTACCGTATAACAAGACACATTTCACCCATGCTACTCTACTTTGAAATAAACTTTATTAAAGTATTGCTCTCGTGGTGTAAGTGATGCAAAACGCGTCACGTCTCGTTGAACGTAAACACGGCACGCGCAGGAGGATGGGCGACTTCCAGGACACGCACAGAGGACTCGCATACACACACAGTACACACACAGTACACACAGTACTCACACACAGTACTCACACACACACAGTACTCACACACATACAGGACTCACACAGTACACACACACAGAGGACTCGCATACACAATACTCACACAGTACTCACACACACACATAGTACTCGCACAGTACTCACACACCGTACACACAGAGGACTCACACACACACAGGACTCACAGTACACACAGTACTCACACAGTACACATACACAGTATTCACACAGTATTCACACAGGACTCACACAGAGGACTCGCATATACACAGGAAACGTGCAACTTTCACACTCGTGGAACTTAAGCGGACAAGGATAAACATGTATTTCATGTAGATCCTTGTCTATAAGCCACCTTACATCCGTTTGATGTTGTTTTTATCTTGTTATTGTGCGATTATCGGCCTAAAGGTAAACTGCAGCGAGCCAACATGCGCTGCAGGGAATTTATGACTTAACACTGATTTGTTCGCGCAATATTTTCGACCTCATGTTTCGACGCAGATTTTTTTTTCTCCGATTTGTTTTCTTAACTGCGAAACTTTTTTTTCTTTTACGTTGCCGACCCAGGCCAGTCACTCTTGCATACAAGACTTTTATCCTGGTCTCCCGAGTTCTCGCCTTGGTTGTGCGAAAATAAACTCAAACGTAAAAATTATTCGCATCCTACTCAAGACAGAGGACTCGCAAACAGCGAGACCCCACAAGACTCGCCCTCTCGCACCGTGCCCGAGACTCGCGCGCGTTCACAACACTTACGCTCGCACACACGTCAGGAACCCGCCGACGGGACCGACCGCGACTCGGGAAGCGACGGTGGGCGCCCCCCCGTTCGACAATTCCGAAAAACGACGATCGACTGGACAAAGTGCGTCGAATTTCGCGTGCCGCCAACCGATTCGCTAAACCCCACGGACATCTCACAGACACAGCTCACGGAAGCTGAAGTCGCCCAAAAAGTCGGGAGTGGGGGGGGGAATTGTTTGAAACAAAATGCAAAAGCCCGGCACAATGATCACAACTCCGCCGGAGAGCAGAGGTAATGAGCGTGGTGGCCGGTTTGTGTCTCGGCTGTGATCAACGCCGCATTACAAGTCCTTAAACAATCCTCAGCAGCAGCAGCACCAGCGATCTCCCTGAAGGCCAAAGCCACGGGGTAGTGCGTGGCTAATCGCATGCAACATCGGTGGCGAGCGATATCGGAACCAGTCTCCCCGGGTGCCGCCTTCACCAACTCGCACTGACCAGCGTGGTAAAGTATGGTCAAGCAACCCCCCCCCCCCCCCCCCCCAAGGCAGTGTGGGGGAAGCCTTCATCCAGCAGTGGATTGACAAAGGGCTGTATTTTAATGTACCTGCAGGGGGCGAGTGTGGCGTTTGTAAAAACTTAAAACGGCAGTGTACAAACCGCACCGGTAAACCGCACACCGTCGCTCGCACGGGGGTCCCCACAAACGTGCCAGGCCCCAACGAGACGATCGCCGCCACTCGATCGCAGGCGTTGTGATAACTCGGGAGGCTTTTGACTCGACTTTATTCAGGCGGAGGGAGGGGGGGTTAGGGCGCATTTGCCGCGGCGGCAAAAAATGTCACGTTCCGTCCCACCGTCGGGGAGGGGGGCCGGAGGGAGGGTGAGTGCCGTGTCTCGTCCTCGCACACCGGTCAAGCCGACCGAAGCTTGCGCCCCCCTCCCCCCCCCCCCCGCCACCGGCACCACTCGAGGCCCGCCGGCTCCCGTTACTCTCGACTGGGGCCTGCTCATCCCGCCGCCGCCGCCGCCGACAACCGCCGTCAGTCCTGCAGCTCCAGCTGCTCCAACTCCTCCAGCAGCGACGCCTCCATCTGCATCTTCTCCAACTGTGAACGAGAATCGGCGTGAACGCGGCACCGGGCACGCGGCGGCTCCCGCATCTCGTGGTGCCGCCGCCCCTCCTCCGGCCAAAACGCGGTTGACGGCGATTTCCGCATCACTTCCTGTTGACCTAACCGCTTTCCGATTGGCCACGGCTTGTGTTAAAAATTGAGGCTGACGAAACAGGAAGCGGTTATGGAAGAGCTCCGCACGACGCGGATCGGGGTTCCGAGCTGGATCCTGAAACGCGTCTGCGCGGTGCGTATACAAGTTCTGCATAGCCTCTGGCGCAATAGCTCCGGGCCAGAGGTCGCAATCGGGTACCCGATACCCGTACCCTACCCGATACCCGGCTACCCGTACCCGGCTAGGTACGGGTACGGGTACCCGTTTGCGACCCTGGTGCGGCCGGGTACGGGTAGGCCGTGAGTCACTGGTGAGTCACGTTCTGTTTACAACCCTTACTAATTGGCTGTGTCAGGTGGTGGCGGGTTTAACGACACATTTATATATTTACACGATCTAACCCAAAAAACCTGTATTATGGATGATTTTGGTTGCGAAAGCCGACTCCGTGTTAATCTTAGCGGTGACTGCACGACGCTCAGCTTTTGGCAAGCCATCATCGAACAAAGATGGTCACTGCATCGCGCGCTTTTCAGATGGCCTTCTGCGGCCGTCTGGAACGCTCTTCCTTCCGATATTAGGAAGCCACAGGAGCTATGCACTTTTACATCATCATCATCTGGATTGACTAACTCATTTCTTTAGAACTGCTTTTTGTGTTCAGTGTTTTCTCATTCCCCCGCACCTCCGATTGCCGCGGTTGGCTACGTACGGTGCGAACGATGTTCAACGTACAGACACACACACTTTGGTCCCCACACATGGCCGGCTCCAGTTGGATCGCTCACCTGGTTTTTCTGAAGCTCCTTCCCGCCTGTCTGCTGCTCCCTCAACTGATCGATGGCTTTCAGCTTCTGTAGGAGACAGCACGGAGGAGAAGGAGGACCACCACCAACGACGGCGCTCGAGAGGTCAGCATTTACCGGCAACAATTTCACCGCTCGGTGGTCGGTAGTAACCATTCAAAGTTCTACGTCTTCTATACTCGCTTGACGACCAAATCACTTGACGGCCGGTTTCGTGGAACCTCTTACCGTCGTTGTGAGGGGGTTCTCTACTGAAATTATTTTAGTGACTCGACTACCTTTTCCCTCCCGTGCTCTAATGTCCTTTTGTCTAGCCCGTTGATGGAACTCGCTCACCACCACTTCCCCCGAGTGGACATCTCGCGTGGAAAAAAAGCTTCATAGCTCATCGGATTAATAAAGATTCCGATTCCAAATGACTGACCGTCCGATTCACGTTCCGCGAGCCGTACGAATCGAACCGCCGTGTGTGTCTCTCGTTACGTTTTCCACTGTGGCTTGGCAGGGCTGCCGTCTTTGACCACGGGGAACCACCAGGGGTCAGTAGCGTCCCGGTCTCGAACACGGGGAGGGCCCGGGAACGTCTCGATCTCTTAACTATTTTTTATTTTACCAGGTAAGGCCCCACTGAGCTATATTGCTCTTTTTCAGATGCGACCTGGCTATCACAAATGATAGTTCAACAAAGTGGTTAATGTGTAAATGTATTGCAGCCAAACACTCTTTAAACGCGTGACGTCGATTCTAAATGTGGAGGGAAAAACCGGAGGACCCGGAGAAAAATTCACGCGACCACGGAGAGAGAGAGATATGAAAACTCCAAATATACAGCAGGAGTCAGGGTTGGAATCGAACCCACGACCTCCTGTATACAAGGCGAGGTAGTTGACATCTCGCTACCGTGAGTCGATCAATAGCTGCCACGACACCGCCACCACAGGCGAACGATGGCTGCAGGGCGTATTGATCTCTCTCCACGATTATTGATCGCTTTTCTCTCCCCAGATTAAAATAGCGCGAACAGAGGGTGCACCGGTGGGAGGGGGTGTTTATTACAGGCTAATAGCTGAGAGTGATGGCACAACAATGTTGCTTTTCACTTGATTAAAAAATCCGGCGTGCACAAATTCCGCTTATAAGGGATGTAACGACGTATCGACTCGTTGATGCGTCCCATCGATTCCATAAGCTCACGGTTCACGCATCAAAACGGACGAGTACGGATCGATGTTTTTCAATTCCATAGGTCGCAAGAAATGAGTTTCGCGTCACCCCTGCAAGATGCCAGAGGCGGCTGCATCCACCACGGTGCAACGGCAAAACCAGCCTCGAATTAAATCGTGAAAGTCGAGCGTGAACATTATTCAAATTAGCAGAGGGCGAATCTTTACACCTCTAATCAACACCGTGTCACTCTGGGCGGCCATCGGGGGATGGCGACGGCTTGGAAAGGCCTTCATCCAGCGGTGGACTGATTGATCACTGCTGCCGATGACGATGGAAAACTGCCCGACACAATGTTGTAAATCCTGCGCCCGTTATCACGACGGACGACTGGGGCCAACGCGATTTCACCCTTTGCGATTCGATGCATCGCGCATCACCGACACGGGGTGGGCCGTTTCGATCACTCAATCAAATCATCTATCGTCGCATTTGCCGTCGGGCAAGTGACATTTTCCGCGCGATGACTTCAAACCGACGGAAAACATTTTAACGACGACGGTTAAAGCCATTCCCTCCGAATTTAGTCGCGAGAAAGATACCATCCAAGGTGTACGTCCGGTGTGCTCGCCCCACACCAGCCGACAGCGCTACCTCTCCTGCTCCGCCCGCCGCCCTCCGCCCGCTGCCCTCCCGTCTGCACTGAGAGGCGAGCTCCGCCAACTGTTCCTGCACCGTCTCTCCATTTGCGCCTTCGGCATTTGCCGTCTCGTCTCGGCTGTGTTTTCCTTTTTTTTCTCGAAACTGTCATCGTGCAATTGCGTACTCTGTAACGTCTATCTGCACCGCCTTTCCCCCCCGCACCTCCCGATTGGCACGGTTGCCTACGTACGGTGCGAAAGAAGTTCAACGTACATACATTTTGCCTTTCATCTGCACCGTATTTGTCTATTTTGTACTGTACTCGCAGACTTGTTGCGTCTCGTCTTTTTCCACGACATCCTCTGCACTGTGTTTTGTCGTCAGTCGTTCGACCCATTCTGTCATCGCTTCGTCTCCACCAAAGTCTTTCTCCCCTCTCTTTGCATCGTCTCTCGTAGGTTCGTTTGTTGATGTAAAATGATAATTTAATTAGTGTAACATCCCCAACACCATTGTGCCCAATGGAACGCCATCAATTGTGTTGGAAGAGCGAGTTGATGAGTGGATCGTTCGGGTCGAAAATCAATTTTCAATCCACGCGTCGATCTATTGATCTGGGCGAGCTAATGTTGAGCAAGCGGTAATGGAATTGGTAAAAAAAAAAAAATCACAGCTGCACATTACAGATGCGTTTTAAAGGTGGAACATTTTCCTAAGCCAGCATTTTGTGAATGATGACAAAGGAACAGGATTCTCTCACCTTTTTCAAGGCTTTTATTTTCTTCTCCTTGTCAGGGTCATGCACGCTCTCTGTTGTCGATATCACCGCAGGCTTTGCGTCGCTGCCAATGTGGGCGACCGTGTCATCATCGTGCGCCTCTGTTCCGCCCTCCTTCAAACAACATCGCACGTTAAGCATTTGAAAAATATTAAAACGTTATTTAGTTTGAACCCAACAAATTCAACATTTAATGCACACCAACCCGCGATGACATCGTGGAGAGGGAGCGGTGAAATCGGCTCGCGTTCAGGAGCTAGACGGATCGTTGCGTTCCAAGACCGCGGGAGATGGTGACAGAGTGGGAATGTCTTCATCCAGCAGTGGATCGATCATGGATGACGACGATGACTATGAGATAACCCCAACCCAGTAGGAACATAAGACGCAATGGGAGTGGGAGACGCCACGGCAACGGGAGACGTGATTTGGAACGGGAGACGTGATTTGGAACGGGAGACACGACAGCAGCGGCAGACGCGACGGGAACGGGACACACAACGGGAACGGGACACACAACGGGAACGGGAGAGGCGATGCAAGCGGGACACGCAACGGGACACGTGATGGAAGCGGGTAACACGACGGCAAGCGGGAGACGCGACAGCAGCGCACGCGCGCACCTGCTTGGCCGCCTTCTTCGCCTCCCGCTTCTTGAGGTTTTTGAGCGCCGCCTTCGACAGCTGCTTCTCCGCCGCCGCGCTCCCCGCCGCCGGCCGCATGTTCTGCGGAAGCTCATCCTCGTCGTGCTGCGCACCGCACAACCACAACCGCCTACGCGTCAGTCCACCGCCCCCCCCCCCGCACCCAACCAACTTGGCCACCACACGCCCGCCCGCTCGCACAGCAGAGTGACGAACCAACTCGCTAACGGGGCAGGCGGCAGCGGTTGAAGTGGGGCCAGTATACGCGCCAGAGGTCGCAACCGGGTACCCGATACCCTGGTGCGGCCGGGTACGGGTAGGCCGTGAGTCACTGGTGAGTAACTGTTTGTCACTCATTTCCCAACGTCTTGTCTCTTCTCACAATTCAAGTTCCTAGAAGCAACCCACCCGCGCCTGCAACATGGCTTCATCCCAGAGGTCGCAATCAGGTACCCGATACCCGTACCCTACCCGTACCCGGCTGGGTATGGGTAGGGTACGGGTACGGCCGAGTACGGGTACCCATTTGCGACCCTGGTGCGGCCGGGTACGGGTAAGGAATCAAAACCCGTTTGTGACCTCTGATACGCGCCGGTGGTATGACACGGTGAGGAAAAAAGGAAATATGATTTCTTGATTGGGAATCTGTCGGCCGAATCGGTGATCCGATTTGCGCAGAGCTACCTGCCGATTGGAGGTGTGACGCTGGGATATCGGATTGAATAACAACGAATTTTCTACAAAAACAATTAACCTTTTCAGTGAACTCGCCAACAGATCTGCACATTTGGAACGACTGGAAAGGTGGTGATGTGGAGGCATTACTGTCGCACTGCAGGGGCAACGTGACGCTGCCGCGGGTAGATGCAGCCTACCGGGTGGCTGTTTGTTTGATGATCTAGCGGCACGTGCCGTTTGAAATTTCGTTAACGCAAACACTAGATTTCGTTAATTGAAAAGTATCCGTCATTTTTCTATTGCGTTCACGTGAAATGTCGCAAACTGAACGCTCGTAAATAGAGAGATACCTGTATATTAAGTCAACTCTAACAAATACATGAATACAAAATAATATCCTTCAAAAGCCAAAGTGATCCCCAGCTCAAACCGAACATTGAGGCGGCGCTCACCTGTTTACCGCCCTGAGCCAGTGGTGCAAATTCCACGTTCCACATTTCTCTCTACGTTACAATCCGAGCTGTGAGCCCACGTTCGAACGGATAAAATATACATTTATATTATTCTGCGCAAACCAGCACCTTCCGTCAACCCTTCCTACGCGCCGCTTGGGCAGCGGTGCCGTACCAGCTTGGTGTTGGTGACCGGTTTGTTGCGGAGGGCCGGTGGCCGGTATGTCTGCGGGATCTTCTTCCCCGGGGCGGCCGGTGCGCCGTTGCCAGCGGCGACGTTGCCGGCGGCCCGGCCGGTGATGCCCGGCTCCGGGTAGGTCCCCTCCGGCACGGGGCGCCACGTCGTCTCCCACACCTCCGAGTTCTCGGAGGCCTCCCAGGTGAACACCGTCGCCCCCAACACGTGCCACACGCGGTAGCCTGCAGGGCAATCGCGCGCAGACGCCGTCGCTCAAAACGGCTCGCCGGGGGAACACAAGCCTCCTCCCGCGGCGGTCACCCGTCCGTGCGCTATCCAGGCTCAGTCCTGACCAGACCGGGCGCGTTCTGGCCGGATCGACCGCGAGGCGTGAAATGTCCGCGACGGCGATAGTGAAGTGTAAAACGAAACTGGGCGAAGAGACGAACAACAGTCGTGAGGAACGACGCCGGCACGGCTCGTGCTCCCGCGCGCTCGCTCGTGCGCTCACCGTTGCCGACGCGCAGGCGCGGTGCGCAGGTGGAGGTCAGCACGTGCGCGCCGTCCGGGCACCAGTTGAAGTGCGTCGAGTCCGACGCCGTGATCTGCGACACGAGCGTTTTCTTGCGCACGTCCCAGAACTCCATGTTGCCGCGCAGGTTCCCGAAGCCGGTAAGTGCCAGCAGCCCGCCGTGCGGCGAGTAGGAGGCGGCGTTGCGCGGCCCCGTCCCGAAGTCGAACACGGGCTCGCAGCTGAGGTTGTAGATCGTCGCCTTGGCCGGCATGAAGCCGTAGACCACGCAGTACTCGGTGGACGTCGGGCTCCACGTCGCCTCGTAGATTGGACCGTTCTTGGCTGAACCGCCGGCGTCGCCGGAGGGGGCACGGGGGAGAGAGTGTGTCGAGAAGAGACGAGATTAGCGCCTAGGTTGGGCACGCGATGATTGGTCGATTTGTCAACGAGAAGACATTTATGAGGGTCGCGAACGCTGGGCACGGATCTGTTATTATTTTCAACTGGTATGTTTTTCTGCGTAATTTGTTCACAATGGCACGGGACGCTCTTGCAAATGAGACCCATCCCGGCCTCTCAAGTTCTCACCTGGTTAAACTAAATAAACTTGAACCTGAAGCAACAGAGCCGTAAAAAATTAACCCGTAAAAACAAAGTTTTTCACTATAAATCCTTTATATGTCCTCTCGTCATCTGGCTTGAGATGGCTGCCACCTATGGGTCAGATGATTGCCTGCCACCATTAAGCGAAAATAAATTGTCACGCACAACGAGTCTGTGTGCAAAATGTCAGCTCGATTGGATCACGGGAAGTGGGTTAAAAAACGACCGAAAGATTTGCACGGTCGTAAGCGCGCAAGCAAGAAAGCAAGGAAACTTAATATAAAGGATTTAAAAATGTCATCAATTCTCCAAAAGAATCACCCCCAACCTGGCCACAAGTGGTGGGCAAAACAGACGCGCTAGTGTATAATGTAGTGTATATAGTGTAAAGCCTGTGTAATGTATAATGTAGTCTATAATGTAGTGTATAATGTAGTGTATAATGTAGTGTATATAGTGTAAAGCCTGTGTAATGTATAATGTAGTGTATAATGTAGTGTAAAATGTAATGTATAATGTGTATAATGTAGTGTATATAGTGCGAGCGCCCAACCTTCGACTCCGGCGTTGCCGGTTCTGCCGATGCCACTGCCTGTCAACCCATATGGTTTACCCCGTATTCTTGCGCAGAGAAATTGAGTTTTCAGGTCCATAGGTCGTACAGCCGTTTCATTACGCGCAAACAAAAAATTGTAATTGTCTATTTGTGTTTCTCTCCTTGTGATGGGACATTTGTAGGATGAACGTTGAGATGTATAAGGGGCACGGGGTGACCAATAAGGTCTGAATTGGTCTGTGATAAGGTAGGGCACTGATAAGGGGTTGTTGACCGGTATGCGATCCTGCCACAGTAGTAGCGGCGGCGGCGCTGTGACTCACGCAGCTGCACGATGATGCTCTCCCCGCCCGTGCTCATGTAGTGCAGCGTCTGCTCGCCGTAGTACGACGCGCCCGTCTTGTCCACGTCCGTGCTCGCCACCACCAGCACGGCCGTCGCTGTGCTCACGCAAGAACAGCAACACGGAGGAGGCATGGGGTGGGGGGGGGGTTGGGAGAGGGGGGGTGAGTGGGGGGCAGGGGGTGAAGTTAAGGCGCTTGATGAGTGTCACGTGACCATCACGGGAACTTAATCAAGACGTGGACGGCTTCTTTAAAATATACAAACAGAAAATTCACATTAAGTTAATCCTGATTGTGCTATAGGTGCACACACACACACAAACGTACCCACATGTACACAAAGATAAAGATCCCCCTATAGCCTTAATAGACTTTGAGGACAAGTGTTGTTAGCAAGCACCTGTGAAGGCCGGCACGGCTCACAAGGGGGTGGGTGGCCAGCAGCACGCCCGGCCGCCCTCGTGGCGATGTTTAAACACCGCACCAGATAGTAATTTGAGGCTGAGTCAACCTAGGGGAGGCCCAAGACCGGTTCAGATAATCGTCACTGGTGTTGGCCGTGAGCCGGAATCTCCGGGTTCGTAACGCAGCGCGCTAACCACTACACGACCGCTCCCCACATACATATATGTATACACACACACATGTACACACATGGGCAAACCCCACACGGAGACGTGCACACACACACACACGCACAGTTGTTGCCACAACTGCGAGACATCCGTGCGTGCGGCTCGGAGGAGGAGTAGAGACAGAGAGGGCAGCCGCACCTTTCTTGTTCCACACCAGGGAGGCGCGGTCGGCCTTGAAGAAACTCCTGTTGGCCAGCGCCTGCGTGGGGCCCCCGAAGTCGGGGTAGCGGTAGAGACGCACGAACGACGGGCCCCCCTTCACTCCCGGCACGTACACGGCCACCTGCGGGCGCCGGCAGGGACGGCACACGGCGCGCGATTGCACGTCTGCAAGCAGCCACCGTCTCGCGCACACGAGCGATCACGAAGCGTGATTGCGCGCTTTCAATCGGCGTTTCTCAAAACGCCAGCCCTCGTGATTCCAGCCACCGCAGTTTGTTAACCTATAATACCTGGGTTTTGGTTCTCTGTGACCTGCCGCCGGAGAACCTTCGTCACATCATGTTGCCGCGCGTGGCCTTAGGGCGGTGGCGCGGCCCGGCGGTGGCGCGCGCTCGACACTTGTCACAGATATTCACGGTTCGAATCCAGCTGGCCCCCCCGATTAATACTGCGGGTGTAAAAAACCAAAAAAAAAATACACTAACGTGCCGTCCTCTTGTCCTCAAAGTCTACCTCAACAACTTGGCAGGACCCTCCTGCAAAAAGAGTCATGAGACTCCGTGAGGCTTTACTTATTAAGCAAACATAATAACAATAAAGTGCACCTCGCTTGGGACTAAAACAGCGGTGATGCAACGACCACCATGCTAAGACGAATGGAGAGCGGTGTTGCTGATATGCGTACAATTACACTGGTAAACAAAAAAAAATTCTGGCCTGGACTTTTGCAGCTGTTTTAGACTAATTTCAGGGTGCCGATTCCAAATCTGATCTCAGATTCGCTCTATCACATTATTTTTATGCTATCGGCATACCCCATTTTCATTGATTTTACCCGAAATTAACTCTGTCACTTATGATTGCAAGTTGTTGCGAGTCAGTGACTGCTTTAGTGTTAACATATGGTGCTGTATTTTTAGGATAGTGTGTTTATAATATAATTTTATGTAGATATCCACATTTAATATTTTTCTTCTGCAGTTTTTATTGAAAATGCAATATTTGATATCTCAAAAATGATGTGATGTGATAGACAAAAACTGATGCCAGATTTGGAATCAGCACCCCAAAATTACCTTAAAACCGTTGGAATACCTTATGCCAGAAAAAGTGTGTTGACCAGTGTTATTAATAAGTATACAGTACTGGGCAGGGCATGAATTGGATGATCAGAGTGGCTCCCGGCATCAGTCCCCATCCTCACAAATGGCTGGGGACATGCAGCTCAAAGACGAGTTCCTAGATGGAGCCTGCAGCCTTATTCACATCGTATAGCAGCTCTTCCATTCACTTATGGTTTCACAAGCCTCAATTTATACACCAGCCTCTCCAATCAGGAGCTTCATGAATGACACGGGTTTGAAGGAAGCCACGGTGGCAAGATGTTAACCACCTCGCCGGGTGTAAAGCAGTTCGTGGGTTCAATCCTCACCCCGACGCCTGTGTATGTTTGGAGTTTGCATGTTCTCTCTCCCCGTGGGCGTGTGCATTTTTCTTCGGGGGTCCACTGCTTTTTCCCTCCACATTTAGAATCAACATCATGCTTAAGAGTGTTTGGCTGATGTATGTTTACACGTGACAAGCCACTTTCTCGAGCTGTCATTTGTGGTCAGGTCGGTTTTTACAAAAAATGAGCTACATAGTTCAGTGGGCCTTATCTGGTAAAATAAAAAATGGTAACGGTTTTACTCTTCTTGGTTCTTTCGGTAAAGTCACGTAGAAGGGAAATAATAAAATAATAAAAATAAGCCTCAAGGCTCTCTTCCCCCTCTAACCCAGCTTAAATATACGCTGCCAAGCCTGGGGTGTTTCATTCAGACGCTGTCTTCCCGACAGACCTGTTCTTCACCTGAGGACGGCTGCTTGCGTTGTGGCCGAAACGTCGTGAGAATTATTTTATTATGTATTATTTTGATTGTTTTATTACTTCCCTTCTACGTGACTTTACCGAAAGAACCAAGAAGATGAATTCCTGCAGTCACGAAAGCTTTAAATCGAAACGGTTTTACTGTTAAGGGCTCTCGGATGTGAGGTCACTTTGGTTCCCATCACGCAAACGCCACTGTGCATCATTATCGACATGGGGCTCTGTAACACAAAGGGCTGTGGCAAATGGTTAACAAGAGGCGGAGCCGATGAAATCAAAATTTTCTAGGTTAAAGGTAAAAAAAATTTTTGTAACCGTAAGTTCGATCTCGTTTGCATGATTTACAAACCCTAAGCTTTTAGACGACTCTCCATTCGTTAAAATTGGTGGAGCGGCTGACGAGGACTTCACACACGCACACATTATAGCGGTGTGTGTGTAATAAACTGGTACAAGTGCCATTTCCTGACAAATCGAAATATCCTCGGAGGGGAGAAAAAAATAATAATGAAAATCTGCCCACATGTTGGCGCCACCGCTCTTCCTCCCTGCACTTATTATCTTTACGATACAGCAGCTCGCGTCAGCCGAGCCTCCCGGAGTGCTTTAAGCACACAGAAGCCTTGTTTTCCCCGTTTCACTCGCGCACCACCGAACATCGCTTCTTCCACAACATCTGCCAACCGCAAAAAAAAAAACAAGCAAAACAAACGGGCGGGCCGGCCAACCACGGCGCCTTAAAAACACCCCACGCTCCCCGTTCGCACGCCAACAAAAAATATAGGGGGGGGGTGGGGGATCCAGGGATCCAGGATAAGTGAAGGCCCCGAGCTGGCACCGCCTCGGGAACGCCGGACGACTTCTTAAGCGCGCGAGTCATGCCGCCGAGAAATAACGAGCAATTATAAGAGAAACTACAAAGGGCGCCAAACTTCCCCGACTGCCGCTGCCTCCGCCCCATGCAATGTAATCGCACTAATGTCCTCGATGGCCGGTTTGAAAAGCGGCGTCGCCAGCAAGAGCTGGAAGCTTTGGCTGAGCGTCTGACCGCCGGGGCGGGGTGGGGCAGGGCGGGGGGAGCCGTGCCGTGCGGTGGGTACGGCGCCTCGCCCCCGCGGCCACTGGAACAGTTTGTTCGACGACCGCGCGGCGTTCTGCGGTGACACGCGGCGCGCACAAACACTTGGGCGCGCACGCGTCCGAAGCGTAAACGCCACCGCTGTTTTTTTTTTAAATAAATGTTTTAAATGTAAATACCGTTTTGTGTCCAGTTCGTATGCCTTTTTGTAATTCCACATTTCTCATATCGAGTGGTTTTTTTTGTTTGTTTTGCTGTAAAAATGTTTGGCCTGGAAGCATCTCGATTGACGTCGGAAAGCGACGTCAAACTGCGCGCGTACTAAATCGGTGATTCTCAAAGCGCATATTCCATCGCGATTGACTTCCTACATCATGTGCCACAAGGAAAAGGGCAAAAAAACAAGAGTTGATGTCTGAATTGAAATGTTGACCACTTATGTAATCATACCTGTCAACTGATACGGATTACTCCATATTCTTCTACAGGGAAATTGAGTTTTCTGGTCCATGCAGCGTACAGCCGTTTCAAAACGGGCAACAAAAAATGTCTTTGTGTTTCTCCCTTGTGATGGGACTTTGTAGGATGAACGTTGAGATGTATAAGGGGCACGGGGTGACCAATAAGATCTGAATTGGTCTGTAATAAGGTAGGGCACTGATAACGGGTTGTCAGGTTTGTGTAATCGTGGGGCATGGGTGGGGGGGGGCAATCCGTACCTTATTACCTTGCTATGCTGTATCAATATAAAACCCCACACCTGTACATTTGCAGCAAAAAAATATTATTTTAGCCAATTTCAACGCAGTACCTGGCAACGTCATTGTCCAGAAAGTCGTAGGAATTTGTCGAGACCAGGCCGAATAAAAAAAAAAAGTGAAATTTCACTCCACCGTGCACCCGCCGGTGCCGCCGGTAGCACCGGCGAGCGACTTCACGGCGCCGGCGCGTGCCACCGGAACGAGAGGGGCTCGGCAAAGCGCAAGGACCCGCACGCTCGCTCTCTCTCACGACGCAATGCCCGATCCACAAATACAAAGGAGACATCGCAGCGATACACTCCGCTGCTTCTGACTTGAACACCTGAATGTGAAATTGCAGTTGTTGCTCTGCATCTCCATGAGCCGTACGAAAGAAGAAGAGGACTCGCTCCCTCTCTCTCACGCTCTCTGACACTCTCACTCGCTCACCTTGCTGGGGCTGGGCCCCGGGGACAGCTGGAAGTCCGCCACCTTCTGCTGGAACAGCTTGTTCGCGATCGTGTCTGCGGCGAAACGCACACGTGCCGCTCGTTAACCCAGTGGAACGTGGGGGGGGGGGGGGGGGTACAATTTTATAGCCGTGGGACAAATTTCACTCTTTCGGATACCTTTAGCGGAAAGTCAAACAGTCATCGACAATAAACTTCGATTGCGCTCGGACTGTAGGCATCGACCGCATACTTCGAGAAGGACTTCAAAGAAGAACAGGCGACCAGGCCAGATACAATAAGCAACTCGACGTTGCCAGGTTGAAGTTATTCCACTTAGTTTGGCCAAGTTGCTTGGAGTTTACATACAGACGTCGTTGGCGGTGTAGTTTTTGTTTAAGCGGCAGGCCTCGCGTGGCGATGCGGCAGGCCATACGGCGTGAAACCCGTGGGTCGCGTCCAGGCTGTACAAGTTCACGCCCCGGTTCAACGGGCATTACCGCGGCGCCAGGGCCAGGTTCGGATCTCACTCGCCATCGACCTTAGCCGTGGTCGGGAATGGAACTCGAACGGTCGCGCCGGGTTCACAACGGAGGGCGCCAAATACTGCGCCACCATAATCCGTGAAAATCGTGAGCTGAACCTCAACGCGCGCTGTTGACGCGCACATCATGGGGTCGTCAAGAGTCGATTTTGATTTACCCGTCGCCGTTCGCCTCCTGCGTGGAGGCTCACGGTGGCGCTTGGTCGCTCACCGAAGTTGTTGTCTTCGAAGAAGTGCACCTCGTTGTTGACCATCCGCGCGCAGAGCTTCTCGTCGTCCGACCAGCTGGGGCACCTGGGAGAGGAGGGGTCAAAGGTCACAGGGGTTAGGAGAAGAAATGGGCTGGAGCTCGCCACGGAGCAGGCGTCAGGGTGTGGCAGTCATCGACACTTCACCACTACGGGGTGCGATTTGGTGGATAAAAGAATCGGGATTAACACTGTCAGAGCAGAGCCTATCTTCCCAGGAAGATCTCATTGAGTCTTAGGAGTTTTTCGAGCAGGGTCCTGCATTCGGATGTTTAATTTTAGTAAAATGTGTTTATTAAAATCAAACCTCAATATTCAATGTCATAAAATCCACTTAAATAATGAACCAAGTGATGAATTTTGCCACGGTTCTTTCCCGTTAAGATCACTCGTACTCTGCTGCTGCCCCCATTGTCTGGAATGGCCCTCCCCCAGCCGTCCACGCTGTTGACTCCCTGTTCCCGTTTCATTTTTCATCTATGCCCAACTGGGTCTATGAAATAATTACGCCCAATATTTACGTGTAGGATCCCAAGATGTGGTCTCCATTTAGATGCTACATGAAACCACATTTTATTGCACTGACCCACAGAGACTCACTTTGAAACTCACACAGTGATCCATAAACTCATACTGGGACCAAGAGACTTACAAAGAGACATTTAGACACAGAGACCTAGGGGGACATGCAGACCCACACAGGAACCTATAACTCACACAGAGACCCACAGACCTACACAGAGACCCATAAACTCAAATAGGGACATGTAGATCCACACGGGGACCCGTAACTCACACAGAAACCAAAGACTCACACAGGGACCTCTAGATTCAGAAACCTATGACTGCCTCTTTCTCCATAAAATATGCCCACCTTCCAAACACAATTTCGAGAACGCGGTCGCAATAAACAACTTTACAAATCCACATTTAGCTGTGTGGCCTCCCAGATGCGCATCGCAAGCCACCCTCACTCATGCATGGACAAATAGACTCACACAGAGACCGAGAGACAATTCTCTAGCAGAGGTCGCAACCGGGTACCCGATACCAGTACCCTACCCGATACCCGGCTACCCGTACGGGTACGGGTACCCGTTTGCGACCCTGGTGCGGCCGGGTACGGGTACGGGTAGGCCGTGAGTCACTGGTGAGTAACCGTTTGTCACTCATTTCGGGTAGGGTACGGGTAGGGAACGGGAACCCGTACCCGGCCGGGTAGGGAACGGATACCCATTTGCGACCCTGGTGCGGCTGGGTACGGGTACAGGTAAGGAATCAAAACCCGTTTGCGACCTCTGTTCTCTAGCGACCTATAACCGACTGCCTCTCCGGGGTTAAATAAAGAAGCCCAGGGCCGTTGCAGAGCGTTGTGAGACGCTGCGCGACCGCACGCGGCACCCGTATCGAACGGAGCCGACGCGCGAGCGCGCGCGTGTGCAAGTGTGTGTGCGCGAGTGTGTGCGCGAGTGTGTGCGCGAGTGTGCGTGCGAGTGTGTGTGTGTGTGCGCGAGTGTGTGCGCGAGTGTGTGCGCGTGCGTGCACGAGTGTGTGTGTGCGCGAGCGCCACCCCGACGAACGCAGCCGCAACGGGTCAAGGGTAAAACGGCCTCTCACCATCCCTGCTGCTTCTTCTGGAAGAAGGACTTCAAGCACTTGCCCTCCTTGAGGTCCCACAGCATCAGGTTGGGCTCCCCCTTAGGGTTGTCTTTGGTTGCTGGGAGGCGACACACACGGCGAGGTCGGGGGGAGCACGGTAGTGGGGGGGGGGGTGGGGAGCGGCGATCACGATGCTACAACCGCGAGCAGCTGTAAATTTGCGTCGTCGAATGTGTCCGTCGTCGAGTTCCCGGGTGTGGGAGGCCACTCACTCATGTAGGGCTGCCACACGGCGAGCAGCGTGCCGAGCGGCGAGAACGCCAGGCACGCCGTCTTCGGCATGTCCAGGCTGTGCAGCAGCTTGCATTCCGGCAGGCTCATTACCTGCACCCTATCGGGGGAGCAACGGACACTCGCTCACGCGCTCGCTCGCTCGCTGCCCGGCTTGCTCACTCATTCACTCACCCACCCGCCCGCCCGTCGCCAGACTTGACAGACTGTTGGGGCAAGTGCTCTTGGCGAGCACCGAGAAAGGCCGGCACGGCACACGAAGGGGTGGGTGGCCAGCACTACGCCCAAGTGCCTGTCTCCCTAGTGGCGATGTTTACACACTGTACCAGCTACCCATTTGAGGCCGAGTCGACCTTAGGGAGGACCAGAATCGGTTCAAATAATCGTCACTGGTGTTGGCCGTGAGCGGGAATCGAACTCTGGCCGCCGGGTTTGTAGCGGTGCGCTAACCACTGTGCCACCGCTCGCCATACTCACACACACGCTTATTCAGTCACACATTCAGTAAACCCACGCACCCTTTAACTCACCCATCCACTTACCTACTTATTCACTAACCTGCCGATTCATACACTTACAAACACTTTCAAGCACTTTATTGCTCATTCACTCAACCACCATTCATTCACTCATTGAATACATTGCAGAAATGATTCAATAACTTTATTATTCACCCAGACACGTATCCAATACCTGGCTGAATCATTCACTCGCCCACTCCTTCAATAACACACTTGCTCATTCACTTAGTCTCTTTAATACATAGACTTTCGCGACCGACATCAAGAGGTTTCTGGGTTAGATCAAGTATCTAATGTGATGAAACCCAAAAACCTCTATGACGACTAATTCTCATGCCTGCTCAATCACACACTCCACCTGCACGCTGCTCACTCAGAATCACTCCCTCAACCATGGAAACGCTCACTCATTTGCTTACTTATCGACACATTCACGTATGCACTCGATCACTCACGTACCCACCCACTCAGTCACTCAAACTCGACCGCTCGCTCGCTCACCACATTATGATCGCCAAAGCAGCGTCCCATTCTTCTTCTTCGTTCTTTCGGTAAAGTCACGTGACTTTACCGAAAGAACCAAGAAGATGAATCCCTGCAGTCACGAAAGCTTTAAATCGAAATTCAGCGTCCCATTATTTGACAGTTCGTTTTTTTTCGAGCCCGCAGAGGTTTGGGTTCAGGACAAAACCTCCCCATCCGAGAGGGTCGTGCTTACTTCTCTCCATTGCACCAGGCCAGCTGTGTGCCACTGCTGTTGAACGCCAGAACCCTGCAGGTCTTCTTGTCCTCGCTGGGCGCAGGATGGTAATCCGAGGGACGGGCACGCCGTTGGAAAAACAAGAGAGAGAGTGGTTTGTTTTGTTAACGGAGTTGTCCTAAAAAAACACACACACACAAAACACGCGGACACAGGCCCCACTGTTCCGATGCCAACGTCGTTGCCATCCATCACGCGAAGGTGAGATGCGCCGCTCCGCCCAATCGTTCTCGCGTTGCCAGGGTGACCCTCATCCGCTGCTATGGCAACCGGTACGTTAGTGGCTGCGGAGAGGGGAGGGGCCTCGGGGGGTGCGGTGAAAGTTAAAGCGAGGTGAAGTGCATAAAAGATGAACGGAGCGATAAACAAGGCGATAGAAAAAAACGTTAATATTTAAATAAACTACTATGTGCGGCGTGAAAAGGCTTGGAGCAGAGTCAAGCACGTCAGGACAAAGCGGGTGCGCGTGTGTGGAAGCGTCCCGGTAGCGTTTGATTTTGGCAAAACAACTTTGATTTTACGTTCGAGTGAAAGGGCGACAGGCTCGGGGCGACACAAAAGCACAGAGGGAATAAAAAGTAAAAGAGACCCTCGCAAAATGACGCAAGACAACAACGGCTCCTTTATTGAGAAGAACGTTAGGTCGGCCGGGGCTGAGCGAAAAGCACAGCGAGTGCGGTCCAGCAGAAGAATGGCCCCGTGCGATTCACCGTACTAATGAGGGGTCGGGTGTGGGGAGGGTTCACTCTGGGGGGTGTCCCCCACACTGGGAGAGCTGGGCTGTGACTGGCCCTGACTGACTCAACCAAGCATAGGAAGGCCTAGATTTGAAGCTTTCGTGACTGCAAGGATTCATACTCTTAGTTCTTTCGGTAAAGTCACGTAGGTAAAAAATGAAATTAAAATTAATAAAAATAAAAAAATTATTTTTATTGTTTTATTTTTACTAATTTTAATTTCAAATTAATAAAAATAAAACAATAAAAATCATTATTGTTTTATGATTTTTATTGTTTTATTTTTATGCGCCAATCAAAGTTTTGTTCTTCTGCGCATTTGTCCTCGCTGCGCTTGGACGACATGACAACAGAATGATCCGTGCCAGGTGGGTCGCGGTTCAAGGTGGGACGGAGTTGCCAAAAAGAAATTCATTAATAACGATTTTGACTTCCGTTTATTCGGGACCGGGGTCCTGTCATAAGGTTCATTTGTTCAAACAAACAAACTGTTGCAGTTCCGACCATGAGGGTTTGATTGGCAGAACTGCTGGTTTGTCAGACGCTGTTGGCAAGAGCACTCACACTTCACCAGGGTGTACTCTTTCAGTGCCAGGAAGCAAGATTGCATTAGAAATTAATTACGTTTTCTTTCGGTAAATTACGACGAAAATTTTCATTTCTTTACACTTTTGGTCACGCCACGTAAAAAATATAGGCTTTAGCCCATTTCATATTTTTTCCTTCCAGAATTACATTTATCCAGCAGAAATTATCAAATATCAAGTGTCCTCTATTGTAAAGTTAGGACCGTACCCATTGAACCTTTAAAAGCGATTTTTACTCCGTTATTCTACTTTCCATTGTTTGTTATGATGACTATGTCATTGTAAAATCTGACAATGTCAAATCTTACCACACTAAAGTTTATGCCTTTATTAACCGAGGCAACTTTCGGAGAATATCTTCCTCGCCGTCGAAATAAACAGCCTGGGTGAGGGTGCATCTCAAGCAACGTAAGAACCAATGGCAAGGATCGACTCTAAACCATTTGATAGGTAACCAGCGAAGACTGCAGAGTTAGATTAAATATAAATAAGAGCAAGTCACCCACAAGTTCACTGACCAAAGGAAAATAACTGATGCAGGAAGCTGTGACGCACAACTGAGCATATACACATCTAGAAGAGGGCGTGCCACTGAGAATTCCATAATTTTCAAGGTCATGCCTCACGGAGTGTGGCGAGTGTGGTGGGCGAGGTGGAGTGTGAGTGTAGTGGAGTGTGTGGTGGAGTGCGAGTGTAGTGGAGTGTGTGGTGGAGTGTGTGGTGGAGTGTGAGTGTGGTGGAGTGTGTGGTGGAGTGTGAGTGTGGTGGAGTGTGAGTGTGGTGGAGTGTGCGAGGTGGAGTGTGGTGGTGGACGAGGTGCAGTGTGAGTGTGGTGGAGTGTGGTGGTGGAGTGTGAGTGTGGTGGGCGAGGTGGAGTGTGGTGGAGTGTGAGTGTAGTGGTGGAGTGTGAGTGTGGAGGAGTGTGGTGGGCGAGGTGGAGTGTTGTGGAGGAGTGTGAGTGTGGTGGTGGGGTGCGAGTGTGGTGGTGGGGTGCGAGTGTGGTGGGCGAGGTGGAGTGTGAGTGTGGTGGAGGAGTGTGAGTGTGATGGAGTGTGGTGGGCGAGGCGCGCTGTACCCGGGGAAGGCGCTGTTTTCTTTAAACTCGGGAGGCCCATCGATGAGCTGGAGACCACCTGAGCCTCTGACTGCGTCGCAATAAAAACACAAAAAACTCGTCAGCAAAATCAGCGCCAGCCTCCCGCGGATGTCCTCTTATAAGCGCATGCGACTATACAAGCAGAGGTCAGATCGCTGAGATCCTGGGTTTGAGCCACCGTGATTAAACCAGGTTCTCAAGTGGGGAGAGCTGGTGGTTTCAGCCTGGCCATCGATGACTTCACAAACAAAGCCGTGACATTAAAGTTGATAGTGTAAATGCTTACCCCGAGCTCTCAATACTCTGATAGTGCACTGTTTTTGAGTTGAACGCCTTTTAGCGTCATCTGGTCCAACACCAATGGAGACTAGGCTCTAAGCAAAGCTGTCTCGGGTGTGGACCAATCAACTTCAAGGACAGTGCATATCATTACCATTATCAGAGTTGTTTCTTTTTGTTTGCATTTGACTGCTTGTGTTGCGGTTATTGCAAACATGATGCCTTGTATAAAGGTGTCAGTTTTGTACCAGTTTAAAGGGTAAAAACCTATTACTATATTTAAGTTGATTGCGCAGCTACTTTTTGCGAAATCGCAGGCCACAGATTAACGCGACTGTCAGCGGCAGAGCGGGTGTGAAAGGGCTGTCCCCGACTTTGAGAACCAGGTCCACTTGAAATCATTGCAAGAGCTGCATTCACCACAGCACTCTGCTATACCACCCCACACACACACACACAAACTACATCACCCACATCCATCATCACAACTCCCACCGACAACATCTGCCTTCATCATCACAGCGCCCACCACCCTGCCACCCACAGCACCCACATTCATCACGGCATCCAGGATGATCACTTCACCCACCAACACCGTAGTAGTAGGTTTTTACCCTTTAAACTTGTACAAAACTGACACCTTTATACAAGGCATTATGTTTGCAATAACCACAACACAAGTAGTCAAAATGCAAACAAAAAGAAACAACTCTGATAATGATATGCTCTGTCCTTTAAGTTGATTGGTCCACACCCGAGACAGCTTTCCTTAGAGCCTAGTCTCCATTGGTGTTGTTTCTTTTTGTTTGCATTTTGACTGCTTGTGTTGTGGTTATTGCAAACATGATGCCTTGTATAAAGGTGTCAGTTTTGTACCAGTTTAAAGGGTAAAAAACCTACTACTATATTTTGCCACTGGTAAAGGAGGTCTCGTAGTGTAACCACGAACATCGTCACCCATGACCTTATCCACTGCTGGATGAGGCCCAACTCTTGAGCCACGTGGCTCTCGCAGCAGCGGCCGCCACGTGCCGCTCGCACTACAACAGCTGCCACTAGGCCCGTCACGCCGCACGTGCCACCACAGCAGCAGCAGCCGCGTAGCTCGCAACAGGCACGGCCCATAGAGCCTCTTCTTGCTCTCTTCACAGCCTCCTGCTCCTCCTCGTCATCATCGTCACCTCGTCTCTTGCCATCATCATCATCCCTTCCCCTCCTCCTCGTGTCTCGTACTCCTAACCCCCGTCACCCCCCCTCTTCGTCACCCCCCCTCCCCCCTCGTCACCTCCCCCCCCTCATCACCCCCCCTCGTCACCCTCCCCCCTCGTCACCCTCCCCCCTCGTCCCCCCCCTCGTCACGCCCCCTCGTCACCCCCCCCCCTCGTCCCCCCCCCCTCGTCACGCCCCCTCGTCACCCCCTCCCCTCGTCACCCCCTCCCCTCGTCACCCCCCACCCCCCCCTCGTCACCCCCTCCCCTCGTCACCCCCCCTCGTCACCCCCCACTCGTCACCCCCCCTCGTCACCCCCACCCTCCCCCCTCCTCGTCACCCCCTCGTCACCCCCCCTCCCCTCGTCACCCCCCCCTCGTCACCCCCACCCTCCCCCCTCCTCGTCACCCCGTCACCCCCCCTCCCCTCGTCACCCCCCCTCGTCACCCCCACCCTCCCCCCTCCTCGTCACCCCCTCGTCACCCCCCCTCCCCTCGTCACCCCCCCCTCGTCACCCCCCTCCCCTCGTCGTCGTCCTCGTCGCCTCTCACCCACGAGCAGAGGCACAGGCGCCGCCATGTTCGTCTCGCGCGGGGGGTCCTGGGAGAGAGAGAGAGGGAGGAGGGGGGGGGCGGCGACGGTGAGGGGGGGGGTCAGAGGTCACGAAGTAGCGCCGGCTGACACGTTGTCATCGAGGCGCGCACGGATACGCCATCCTCCGGAAGTGGATGCGAAGCGGCGCCTCCCCCCTCCACCGTCACTTCCTGTCCACATCGACGGACGGAAGCGCAGGCTGACTCCCGTTACCGCGCGTTCGTTCGCGTCCAGCTGCGACGTCCACCGACGTTGAGGAACGTTCGACGGTAACCTCGCGGCAGAAGTCGTCTTCAACCTCGGCCGTCGGCCGCGCTCGTTGGTTCGCGTCCGCACTACTTGATCGTGTCGGAGCGATACGCGGCGGTGAGAGGGTGCGTCTCTTTAAACGGTCGTCAGAGTCGAGCGTTACCGTCTTGGTGGTGATTACTGCGCGATTACTCCGAGGTAACTTGGGAATTACTCTGAGGTAACTATGGGATTACTTTGAGATTCTCGTGGGATTACTTTGAGGTAACTGTGGGATTACTTTGAGATTATCGTGTGATTATTTTGGTGATTACTGCGCGATTACTCCGAGGTAACTTGGGGATTACTTTGAGATTCTCGTGGGATTACTTTGAGGTAACTATGGGATTACTTTGAGATTGTTGTGGGATTACTTTGAGGTAACTATGGGATTACTTTGAGGTAACTATGGGATTATTAAGATATTCTCGTGGGATTACTTTGAGATAGTTGTGGGATTACTTTGAGGTAACTATGGGATTACTTTGAGATTCTCGTGGGATTACTTTGAGGTAACTCTGAGATTACTTTGAGGTAACTCTGGGATTATTAAGATATTCTTGTGTCATTATTTTGGTGATTACTGCGCGATTACTCCGAGGTAACTTGGGGATTACTTTGAGATTCTTGTGAGATTACTTTGAGGGTTACACAGGGATTACTCCGAGGTAACTCCGGGAGTATTAAGATATTATCGTGGGATTACTTTGAGGTAACTCCACGATTACTTTGAGGTAACTCTGGGATTACTCAGAGATTATTGTGGGATTCTTTGAGGTAACTCTGGGATTATTAAGATATTCTTGTGGGGTTACTTTGAGGGTTAAAAAGGGATTACTCCGAGGTAACTCCACGATTACTTTGAGGTAACTCTGATTACTCAAAGATTATTGTGAAATTCTTTTTGGGGTTACTCCGCGATTACTTTGAGGTAACTCTGGGATTATTAAGATATTCTTGTGGGATTCTTTTGGGGGTTACTCCGCGATTCATTTGAGGTAACTCTGGGATTACTCAGATTATTGCGGGATTATTCCGAGATTACTCTGAGATAGCTGTGAGATTACTCCGCGATTACTCGGAGGTAACTGCCTAAGTTACTCTGAGATTACTCTTACATGGCTGTGAGATTACTCTGAGGCAACTGCCAACGTTACTCTGGGATTACTGTGAGGTTACCTGCTGCGATAAATTCGCGATTGCTGCGAGGTAACTGAGATTACTCCGCGGTAACCCCTTGAGGTAACCGTGAGGTTTACGGAGGCTCTTGTGTTTGATGCAGACGATGGTGGCGAAACAGAGGATTCGCGTGGCGAACGAAGCTTACAGCAAGAACATCACGCAGCGCGGACATGTCGCCAAGAGCTCCGTGAGTGTTTCCCTGCACGTGACCAACGTTACCACCGTCACCACGTGACCCCTGTTGCAAGTTACCACTTTCACAACGTTATAGACCGCGTTACCAACTTCGCTTGCGAGCGCGTATCCACATCGCGCGTTACCACGTCACCTCGGTACAAGTTACCACGTGACCAACGTCACCACGTCACCACGTGACCAACGTTACCCCGTCGGTACAAGTTACCACGTGACCGACGTTACCAACTTCGCTAGTGAGCGCGTAACCGCATGTCGCGTGACCACGTCACCACGTGACCTCGGTACAAGTGACCACGTCACCACGTGACCTCGGTACAAGTGACCGCGTCACCACGTGACCTCGGTACAAGTGACCGCGTCACCACGTGACCTCGGTACAAGTGACCACGTCACCACGTGACCTCTGTACAAGTGACCACGTCACCACGTGACCTCTGTACAAGTGACCGCGTCACCACGTGACCTCTGTACAAGTGACCGCGTCACCACGTGACCTCTGTACAAGTGACCGCGTCACCACGTGACCTCTGTACAAGTGACCGCGTCACCACGTGACCTCGGCACAAGTGACCGCGTCACCACGTGACCTCTGTACAAGTGACCACGTCACCACGTGACCTCTGTACAAGTGACCGCGTCACCACGTGACCTCGGTACAAGTGACCGCGTCCCCACGTGACCTCGGTACAAGTGACCACGTCACCACGTGACCTCGGCACAAGTGACCGCGTCACCACGTGACCTCGGTACAAGTGACCGCGTCACCACGTGACCTCGGTAGAAGTGACCGCGTCACCACGTGACCTCGGCACAAGTGACCATGCTACGTGTGAACGTTGCGTCGCGACCGTTACATTTCACGTGTCAACGTTTAGGGGCCGTCCATAAATGACGTCACGTACCTGGGGGGGGGGGGTCAGACATTTGTGACGATGTGTGACGAGTGAGGGGGGGTTGAGAAATGTGACGTCACATGAAAATGAGCAACTTTAAATAGATAGACAACACGTTCTACTTAATTAAAGACTTTGTAATAAATATTTTCTCCTACAACATCAGAGTGCAGCGCCACATTAAATACGCACTACAATGACAGTAGTTTAAAGCGATTTGAAGCATGTTTTTTTTGTTTTGGGTGGGGCAGAGCTTTGTGGCGTAATATTTGAGGGGGGGGGTCAATCGTCCAAAATCGCGTGACGTCATTTATGGACGGCGCCTTACCACAGCGCACGTGGTTACCTTGTTAACGGTGAGCACGTGACGCATTGCCACGGTAACCAATGTGGTTTTAATACTCAACACTCGCTTCGAAACGTGAACCACACGGGAGTTTTAACAGTGAAACCTCAACTCCATCCCCTGCTCGCCATATCGGTCTTTGGAGCTGTTTGACCATACTTCACCACTGTGGTCAGTGCGGGTTAGTGCAAGGCGAGGTCCAACACCGCTACAGATATCAACCCCCCCCCCCCCAACCTTTGCTTTGAAGTACAGGGGGGCGGGTGAGAGAATGTGGTGTAGATCTGTTGATCTGGAGACGAGTGAGAAACTTGAGCCGTGTTGTGTCCCCCGCAGAAAGCCCAGGAGGAGAGGCTGCCCGTGAGCCCTGCCCTGATTGCACTCTTCGTGTTCGTGGTTTGCGGCTCAGGTACCCGATCTCCCCACCATACCCGACTTCAAAAAACAAAGATCCCCTCCTCGTATAGCCCTAACAGACTGTCGGGGCAAAGTTCTGTCAGCGAGTGTCACCTGTGAAGGTCGGCACGGCACACCAGGGGGTAGGTTGCCAAGGGGGTAGGTTGCCAGCACCATGCCCGGCCGCCTTTGTGTCCCCAGTGGCGATGTTTACACACCGCACCAGGTACTCATTTGAGGCTGAGTCGACCGAGGGGAGGCCCAGGACCGATTCCGATGATCGTCACCAGATGTTGGCCGTGATCGGGAATCGAACTCTGGTCACGGGCATCGTAGCGCAGTGTGCTAATCAATACACCACCACACCATGTCCCCATTGTGACCCTGCAGGGAACTAGTGTGCGTTGACTTCAGAGGTCAAGGACTTCGTGGTAGACAATGGTGCAGTGCAGCAAAATCCATTATTGTACTGTATGTTCTATGCCCCCCCCCCCCCCCAGCCCCATGCCTACAACCCACACTAACAGATTTTTAGTAAAGTTGGTCCTATAACCACAACTCTTATGGCATGGGGAGGCACTCATCCAGCAGTGGATTGGCAAAAAAGAGTTGCAGAGCTTCCTCCAAAACCAGGGCATTCTCATGACCTGGTTTAACAGATGGACTCTGTGTTTCATCCGCCGTGTTCAACCACCACATGGCAGTTCAAATATTTTTTCTTCTTTCTTAGCACTGCTTTGGACTTCCCCCCCCCCATCCTCTCGTTTCCCAAGCATTTACAACCTTAAATTTGCATTTAAAGCTTTCGTGACTGCAGGGATTCATATTCTTGGTTCTTTCTGTAAAGTAACGTCGAAGGGGAAACAATAAAATAATACAAATATAAAACAATAAAATTCTCACGACGTTTCGACTGCAACACAAGCAATCATCATTTGGCTTTTTGTGCCTTTGCTCGGTAACTGTGAACAACAACAAGTTGCAACTGGCACCACAACACAGCCGTGAGAATGCGTCGCAGTCGACGGCCGAGTCAGCGCGTTGACGTGGTTGATGATTTTCCCCGAAACCAGACGCCGTTCGCGCGTCGATGTTTGCATAATACACGTCAGCATGGGTAAACCCCCACACCACACGCAACACGGTCAGGGAAGTGCGTCACCACGGGCAGACCGAAACGCCCACAAGCTATGGGCGGAGACGCATGGGAAGTGATTGGCGTTCTGGGTTTGCGTGACCTAGCACCCCCGTGGGATGGTGACGGTGTGAAAATGCCCCCAGGTGTGCTTCAGGTAGATTTATCAGGTGACTCGTGTTTTAGAAACTGGGTGTAGTCCACTCTTGGCTGTGTTGCAACGCACGAGTATCTTATTACATTCCTGGCTTTACAGTCAATTCCTCTTAATAAGCGCCGTTTAATTCAAAATAGTAAATTCCACGTGAAGGATACAATGTATTGGCCGTGAGCTATCCACCACTGGATGAAGGGTCCGCCAAGCCAATGTCATCCAATCACGGTCCCACGTGAGCAAGTCGGTCTAGTTCCTGCACAAGAACGTTTTGATCACTCCCAAATCCACCCAGGCCATGCCCCGAAAAAAGTATGTCCTTCCAAACATATCAATTGTTTACGGGATTAAATAAAATGTACAATTTCGATTTAAAGCTTTTGTGACTGCAGGGATTCATCTTCTTGGTTCTTTCGGTAAAGTCACGTAGAAGGGAAATAATAAAAACAAAACATAATAAAATAATTCTCACGACGTTTCGGCCACAACGCAAGCAGCCGTCTTCAGTCTGACTGCCTTCTCGACAGACCTGTTCTCCACCTGAAGACAGCTGCTTGCGTTGTGGCCGAAACGTCGTGAGAATTATTTTATTATGTTTTATTTAAATTTTATTATTTTCCTTCTACGTGACTTTACCGAAAGAACCAAGAAGATAAAATGTACAAGTCATGTATAGCATCCAAGAATGCATTTCGACCGCAGTGAATGCATGCTCAGGAGAAATAAGTTGCGCATGATTAAAGTTTTAATTCAGTTATATCTCCTACTTTATGGAACATGCATATAATACAGGTACACACGGCCCTGTCAATCCACTGCTGGTTGAGTGTCTCCTCACACTTGGGTAATGTTTTACCATACTTCACCACACTTGTCCGTGTACGCTGAAGGCGGGGAACATAGGTGTGGGGAAGCATGAGATTGATATATTTTTGCTCCACATACCTTCTGCTGTCCACGACACTGCCCCAATCTGTAGCCTGGGACACGGATGATGTAAAGCAGTGGGCTTCCCAGGTGAGGCACTTGTGTACATGAATGAAAAATTGCTCACCTCAGTGTAAATTGTTTTTTTGTCCTTTACAGCTGTCTTCCAAATCATCCAGAGCGTGAGGAGTGGATATTGAGGCAGTGCTTGTGAAGTTACTCCCCCATCACCACCAACTTCTGCTGCCACGATGTGGGAACGCATCACCATCGCCTCGCCACCCCACTCCCAGCCTCTCGCCCAACACCCAAGCCAGTCTTTAAAACGCATGCTTTTAAGTGTTCATGTAAAATGTTTACAACACAAATGTGCCTTCAATGGAAAGTGATTTACTATTTATTCAAAACTGACAAATAAAAGCCTATATTTCCTCGCTAAATTTTACGTGGCAGCTTTAAACTGTTATTCTGAGAATGTTTGTGCTGACTGAACATTTGCTTATTAAGTTGTGGATCCACACATGCAGTGTTCAGCATGAACTGGCACTGGGGAAAACGATGCTACACTGTTCATTGGTGCTGAAAATAATGCTTTCTATTAATATTGTAGTTTAATATACCTTCCGAAGTCAAGCCTGAAATGTACCGAATATCAATTGCAAGCAGCTTTGGCATACCAGGTGAAATGGTGGCTGCTTCAAAACGTGCATGAAAAGTTGGAGACATCAGAATAGTTTGTTAGGACAGGGCATTCACCATGGTGTGGTCTCCTACTTTGTTTAACGTTGTGCTTGACCATTTACAAATGGCGTTAGCACAGCAGAGAACCCAGGGACAGATAGGCGATACAAATGTATGCGACTTGGGAGTGTGCAGATGCAGGTTTGTTGACGAGGTCTTTGGTCAAAGCCATTCTGTTATTGGCGGTCTTTAGGCAGAGGTTGGAAACCTCAGCCTCAAGTTTTCCTGACAACTGATTTCTAATTAGAAACGACCCTCCTATAGGAGAATCATTAAGTCAAGGCAGTAAATAAGGTTGTATAGGACTCTTGTACAAAGGCAATAATATCCATAATTCAGAGGGCTGTGAGGTCAAGACGAATATTGCTTTATCAGGGCAGGTGTTTGACGGGCGATGGAAACCACTTTGGAAATGAGACGTCTTGAGTGGAAAGTGGTAATTGAGGCAGGAGCACTATCTGCTACTGTATGGATCTGAAATCTGGACTCAAACGTGCCGCTTTTGAGCACAGGTGTTTGAAATCTACGCTAGGAATTGCTGCGAGTCTGAATAAGCAATGCAGAAGTTCGGAAGGGAACACTCACAGGCAAGTGCTGCCGATGAGGGGAAAAAAAACGGTGGAATGTGTGCAGGACGCAGGAGGGCTGATTGCCAAGACGGGCATTAGAGTGGTCTGCATGAGTGGCGATCTACAGGAAGAGAAGACCTAACCAGCAGATGGTGGGTACTGTCAGGGCAGGCCTAGGAGGTCGTGTCTCCAGCAGCTGTGGTAACTGGCGGAGGGTGCAGAGTGTTTGTGAGATAGGATGGCATCAACGGATTTTGCCACAATCACAAGCAGGGTGGCTATATGCAGCCGATTGCATGGTTGGCAATATTTCAAAACTGCATTCATAAGAACCATTGTATGTCCACAATACATGTTCTTAGGTTGGATCGCATGTGTTGTTAAACCCACCACCAATCAGTAAGGTTTGTCACCTAAACAGAACGTGCCAGTTGGTTACTGGTACAGCACAATGGTGTGTTGGAGAATAAATCCACAACATTTACAATCGGAGTACGACATTTTACCAGTAATAACAAATAACATCATCAGGCGACGGCCAGATATGTGGAGAAATCCTCCTGTTTCGTTCCTTCAACAGCGGGGATAGATGTGATGGCGTCACTTGTGAGCCCCTCACAAGTATATGTTGGTTACAGCGCACAACACTCCACGCGAACCGAATGCTTTGCCTGCACACGAGAAAGTGGCTTCGACGACACTCGACCACCTTGACGACTTCCAGTGGTGCTTTGCGACCCGAGTCCCGAGCATTTATCGAAAAAAACATTTCTGCGCAAAAAAATGAAACGACCATTTCTCATGTCATGTGATATTTAATTTCACGGCTTGCGTTACAAGCAGGTGGAGAAGGTCTCTTGCACATTATTAACTCATTCCCATTGTTACAGTAACAAACACGCATCGTCAATACCGCGCGCGAGAGGGGATTAGTAGGTTATGTAAGCAGTACAAAATAACTTAAGTGGAACGGGTGCGGTGGTGTGAACAAAACAAGGGAGAAAGAGAGACGGAATGGTGGGTGGGAGTGATGAGCGGCGCAAATCAGCAACGACTTGAGAACAATCCACAGGCTTTGGAGGAGACGCTCAGTGCCTGTGTCGCTTAACCGTGCGGCCGCGTGCGACGAACAGGGCCTACGCAAAGGCCACGAATAAATAGAACGGTCTCAGGCGGCCGGGGGAGCCGCAAGCTACGCGCAGCAGACGGAGCTACGCCGGTTCCGCGTTTCACGAGAGGCGATGAACGAAAAAAAAGGTTGAACCCAACTTGCTGAGCGTGCTCTTGGCATCTTTGGTTGAATGTTCTTCCTTTTATGAACGTATCTTTTTGTCTTCATGTGTTTCAAGTTTCGTAGCACTGGTTACATGAGAGACGGCGGCAGAGAACCGAGAGCGTACTGGTAGAAGAGAAACGGGCAAAGTGAAACCTTAATCCGACTACAAAATGTTGCACAACTGCAACTGGCCAATGAACTTTAACTGCCATTCAAGTGCACAACATTTGAAACACTTGACCGTATCTACATGTTTCTGTCCAAAGGAACATTTTACATACAGTACATACATAACGTACAGAATATACACTTCTTATACAACCTGTTCACTCTATCGTCACCGTGTGCTGTGCCCATAAAGTGTGTACCCAGCGACAAGTCACACTTGTGATGCTACAAGGACGACGCGTTCCTGCTCAGCCCACAAACCGCAAGGTGGGGGGGGAGATGCAGGGGAGGGCACCGGACTGCTTTGTACCATTCTATATTTAAATCCCCGAAAAGGTGACGGGGGACACTCTGCAAGTGATCATTTCTCTGCGGCAAGGACCCCTAGGTGCATTTGTGCGATACGACCCCTCTTCCGAAGTCACCACCGACTTTACCTTTTTCTTACCAATGAAATTCGAGCAAAACGCGCTCACGAGTTCCTGAAAAGGCCTCGGTCGCAACTGGTAGCGGCACGTAGAGGTAGCGTGCGCTAGCTTCATGCTGCTGGAAGCGACGCTTGTCGCGCTAGTCCCGACGTGTGCTATGCGACGCAACATGCTACACGACGCTGCTGCTGCTGCACCCGCTATGGGGACAGAGAAATATTGACCTCCACGAGGAACAAAAAAAAAATATATTTTTAAAGTGACACGAGCATAAAATTGAACAAATCGTGGACACCCGACGTGTCCCATCGTGTGTATGTGACGTCCCGCTTGAGGAATTTTAAGGGCTTTAGCGAGGGTGGATTAACGTGTCTCCACGCACCGCTGCGTTGGCAGCTATGCGCCAGGGACGAATGTATGTACGTAGGTGGCTCAGTTTCGCATGGTCACAGCTCGGCTCGATCCCAATCCCAACTCTTCAGAAGGGGCCCTCTCTCTGCTTGGCTTGCCCTTTGCCGGCTCGTTCACATCAGAAGCACGGGCACCAATTAACACGTAGCCTAGCATTCAATATACAGTACATCAGTCACCTTTAATTACTTATTTTTTTTCTTTCATATAACTATGTTTATGTACATGTCATCACAGTAACAGATGGCTGTCAGGTCCTTGTAAGCTCAGGCGGCGGAGTGACACGTGGGTAAAAAAAAAACAAAGAATCCTATTGCAATTTGCGACGAGGAGGAAGAGGAGGAGTGGCTGTCAGTCTGTGCTCCGTCGTCTCTCAAGAGGCAGCCCCCCCCCCCCCCCCCCCCTGGTTGGGGGAGCAGGGATTCATTTCTCACCCAACACATTCCGGGCCCGCTGATGGACTTGGGAGTAGGCACACGTCAGTAGGAGCCACAACCGTAGCGATACGTATAGCTGGACGCTGCGTGCTAGGCGTGTAAAGATTTTCTGGGGCAGCCGATCCATACCGTACAGACCCAGCTGAAATTTAGCCCTGGGGTCGGTAGGGGGTCGGGGGTGGTGGGGGGGGGGCAGCATCCGGCGGACGGGAGCCCTCACACGGACGGGAGCGCCGTGGCCGACGGGGCGGCTGTCACGGGAGCCGCAGCGGCCGGCGGGGCCGCGACGGCACCCACCGCTGGGACTCCGCCGCCCGGCGTAGACGGCTGGGCGCCCCCGCCGCCACTCGGCACGCTCACAATCTGGCTCTGGATTTGCTGCAGCTGCTCAGGGCTCGCCAGGCTCTTGAGCAGGCGGTTCTCCTGCTCCAGCTGGCTGTTCTTCTCGATGAGCTCCTTGATCTGCTCCTTGAGGACCTCCACCTCCTCCCGCACGGCATACATCAGGTGGGACTTCACCAGGTCCTGTGTGGCACAACGGGGAAGGGGGGGGGGGGCAGTAATCAGTTAAAACTATCAAATTAAACAATTTTTATTTTACCAGGTAAGGAGCTCTTTTTCAGGAGCAACCTCGCCACAAATGATAGCTCGACGAAATGGTTTATCAAGAGGAAATTTAAAGCAGCCAAATACTCTGAAACGCATAATGTTGATTCTAAATGTGGAGGGAAACAGTGGAGAAACATCCACGCGACCACGGGGAGGGAGAGAGAGACATGCAAACTCCAAACAAACAGGCGTCAGAGTAGGGATTGAACCCACGACATGGGGACCAGGTGAGGGAGTTAACATCTTAAGATCGCACCCACACTCTTAAAGACACTCTGTGAACTCGCCCCTCCCTGCCAACCTCTTTTCTCACTCTACTCCACCCGTCCCAACCCCTCAAGATAAAATCTCAACTTGTACTGCTTTAAATGACATGCCGAGCAAAAAATATATTTTCAAACACCGCTCAATGTCACTATAAGTTGTCAGGAGCGAGCTGTGCACATAAATGAATTGTTGTACTTATGCTCAAACGTAAATGCTCTCCACGTTCAACAATCCACACTGACCAGCGTGGTGAAGTATGGTTAAATAACCAAGACGGCTCGCACGGCATGGGGAGAACCTCATCCAGCAGCGGACTGACAATTGGGCTGTATGTGTACGTACGGTCAGAATCAGAATATTTATTTAGACTGGAGCAATCCAATGAGCAATACATCTATCAGTAGTCTTGCCACTACTGGACACCTGTACGAGCTTCGTCACTAAACCGAACTCGCTTCCCCCGGCTAAACGCTCCTCCTCGTTGTCCATGGGCCACAGCAGAATTTTGGAACCGTGTAAGTCAGCAAAATCTTAGTTTTTATACATGTGGATAATTAAAATGGATTCATTGACAACCTAGACATTTGAAATGATTATCACACAACTAACTGCTATTGGTCACAAACAAACGACAGGTGGCACCCACAAGGGATACATCTGAACTCATGGACTATCAACCCCACACTTCTCGCGAGCGGTTAAGCTCGGCTGTGGCTACCACGAATGCACAATCCACTCGGGCCGCAGGAATTACGCCGCTAATCCACGACACAGCAAGCTTAATGGCTTGTCATCTTGACAAAGTCCAATCATCAGCGGAGTGTGTTTCAACATCCGGAGCACGTCTCTCCGGAGGGACACGGTGTACCGCGGTGGCTAGGAGATGTTAACTCCCTCGCCTGGTACGCAGGAGGTCGTAGGTTTAATCATGACCCTGACGCCTGCTGTTGTATATTTGGCGTTTGCATGTATCTCTCTCTCTACGTGGTAGCGAGGATTTTTCTCCGGGTCCTCCGTTTTTCCCCTCCACATTTAGAATCAGCGTCACGCGTTCAGAGTTTTCGGCTGCTATACATTTCCACGTGATGATGAGCCACTTTGTCGAGCTATCATTTGTGGGTCTTAGATCTGTTATTATTTTTTTAAACGTTTTAGTTTTAGCTGCTGCTGCCCTGTAAGCGCACAGTGCCCCACGCGTGAGACTCGACGAACGTGGCACAGGTGCCCGCGTTCACATCGGCGCTTCCATACCAACAGACGCCACAAGGTGTTGTGTCAAGCTTATCCCTGGCACCCACACCTGTGACAAGACGTACCATTACAAGTATGAAGATGGTACTCGCACACTACTGTCAGTGCAGTCGCTTATTGCTTTTTTATTAGTAGAATTGGTTTTACTCGTCCACGCAATTGGGGATATGCGTACGCTCGAGAGAGTTGTACGTGCGGGCACAGCGTGCGCAGATCATGCGCAAGCCTTTCGCCCCACTACCATGCCAGTGCCCCATCGAAAAGAAGCGACCATCGGCTCATGACGTAAGTACAGAAAGAGTGAAAAGGCAGAGCAACATTTCAGTCTCGTTACATCGATCAAATAAAAAAAAACTCAACTTAATCATGTGCTATGGATAAGGGTCATTGCCCGAAACGTCGCCGATTGTTTTCGTTCTTTTTCCAGGCAGCGTTTTTTGTTAATTGTGCACCGCTGCCAATGGCGCATCATCACGTCAATTTGTTTAGATCAAATTAAATCAGGAGCACATTTGGTATTCGAGTCATGTTTATGGACACAACGCTCTCTGCTGCTGCTGCTGCGTTTCACAGACGGTCGATCTCCAGTCTTTTCACCGCAAGAGGCGATGCGGCGACGTTTCATCCAAATCGAGTATATTTTGCAGCTACATTTTTCCAAATTTGGCAAATTTGGACCACAAAAGCCAGCACACAAAGCGCGACTCTTTTCGAATAATGTCACGGCCTCTCTCAAGCAGACAACACGCATCTCACGGCCAATACACCCGCGGTATTAACACGACCGTCTCTGATACACACACACACACGGCATTCGTACTTGGAATAAAATACATCTCCGCCAATGTGCTACACACTAATATTTACACACGCGCACACACGACACCTTGCGGGTAGCAGAGAGCATTGGGCGTATCCGTTGTATTGAATCTCCTCTATAATCTCCCACGTCTACCCTCGACCGGCTGGCCCAACAGACTTGCACGCCTGGAGGAAGATCCCCTAACCAGCAGTGGGTTTAGACAGGGGCTGGACCACCCCTCTCCACTGGAAACTAAACATCGGAAGACTCGGCTCCACCGCCTTTATAGGCAGAGCAAAAATAGCCAACGCCCCACCCACCAATGGGGTAGCGGACCTGGCTCGTGACGTCACCAAAGCTTTCTGCTTCTCGTGGCAACGGTGACATCACCGGGGAAACCCCCCCTGCCCCCCCCCCCTCACTGGCCCCTCCCCCCTCTCAGTCACTAGCACCACCCCCTCCCATCTAGCCCCACCCCCTTCCCCCCTAGCCCCACCCCCTTCCCCCAAGCCCCACCCCTTCCCCTAGCCCCACCCCCTTCCCACCTAGCCCCACCCCTCCCCCCTAGCCCCACCCCTCCCCTCTAGCCCCACCCCTCCCCCTAGCCCCACCCCCTTCCCACCTAGCCCCACCCCTCCCCTCTAGCCCCACCCCTCCCCCTAGCCCCACCACCTTCCCACCTAGCCCCACCCTCCTCGCTACCCAGCGGCCCTGACACAGCATTACATAATAGCAGAGTGGGTGATCTCATACGCGAAGCGGCTGATGTACTTCAGTTCTAAATGAACATACGTTATAGCATACTCTTTGGTTCTTTCGGTAAAGTCACGTAGGTGCAAACTATAAAATAAAAAGTTATTTTTTTCATCCGTAAAATTGTATTTTCTTACCTACGTGACTTTACCGAAAGAACCAAAGAGTATGGATTCCTGCAGTCACGAAAGCTTCAAATCAAGATACGTTATAGTATCGAGCGACGCCACCGCCGCCACTACAATCGTCCGCCTGGCACCCGGACACGGAGCTCATCTTAACGCTCCATCTCTCCGCTGGACGCACTCTCGGCGGCACGCGTTCCATTTATTGGCTGCCACTCGGGTTATTGGTCGAACGCTCCGGCCGTCGAGACTCGATGACGCGTCCTGCCTAAAGCCACTTACTTTCCTTAACAGCCTCGAAGATGTATGTCATTAGCCTCTCAATGCGTTCCCTAAGCCACGTAAATTGCAAGCATGCATCTCCGCAAAGACACGTGTATTCATTTAAAAGACCATGTTACAGTACTATATAGGGTGGCGCGGTGAAGTATGGTGAAACAACGTCCACCACCCGCACGCCGGTGGGGAGGCCCTAGGGAACACGGCGAATTTGGGCAACCGCCCCGGGCCCCGCGGTTTGGGGGGAGGGGGGGGGGATCCCCCCGCCCCTCTTCGTCGTCAGATGGAAGGGGCCCACACAGTTGGGTTTGCCCCGGGTCCCGCACTCCCACTAAGGATGGCCCTAATAAGATGACATAGCAGCGTATCTATAGATATCATCTATCTATGCACGCACACAGAATAGACATCTACTACAATTATGCTAAAGCTATTAAAATGCATTACGTACGTTTCCTTAACACTCTTATTCGCACTAACACCAACACAACACAATGTGATCTACACACGGGTGTTGAACGCCCATCTAACCACGCGACGGTAAGAACTAGACACGGTCCCGATATCCTGATCCGGACCACGAGCTGGTCCCGGACCGCATGGCTAGAGGCTTCTTCAACCCGACGTGGATCTTCATCACCAACAACCCGAAGAACCCCGAGCCCCACACGGAGCCACCGTTATATCGGCCCGGGCTGGGGCTGGCTCCGCCTCTCACCCCGCCCACCTTCTAGATCTCTCTGGCCCTTTCCCGAAGGCTCCCGAGAGCTCTTCTATACCACGTGACCACCCAGCGGCCTCCCTCCAATATCATCCGGCACGTGTCGGCAGATCAACCAGCATATCATGCCCCAAAGTAACCCTGGCTGGCTGACACTCTCTCGCTCCCTCACCGGGAGCCCGCACCGCACACTGTACGTGGTGCCTCTGTGCTGACCAGCGCTCACCCAAGCCCCGCTAGGGCTGGTACTACGCCCAGTAAGCGGGCTACACGTAATGTTAACACATTATCCGCCGTGGCCTCGAAGGCCCGGCACCACACAGTGACATCATTCACAGTCACTACACTCCGAGTATTGTATACAAGTAGCTTACACGTGCAACATTGACAAATACAGTGGAGGAATACTGTTGAGTTGCATTGCATACACTTGCAAGTAACGAATATAGGACACAATGGAAACACATGCAATTTGCAAACACAGCGCATACTATTCAACTGAATTATTTCTATTTAAATGCGTGGATTTTTTTTATTACGTTTGTAGGGGGTAATGGACGCCGAGTGTTATCCCAATTGGGTAATTTACGGGGTAATGCTTTGAATTTGGACCGCGGCCGACTCTTCAAAAAGCACGTCATGGGATCTTTAACGTGCGCTGTCAAGCAGACGGCGCTCAATTTTATTGGCTAATACATCCGCAGTATTAACCAGGGCTGCCGCTGGATTCGAACCAGGAACTAAACTGAAATATTATCCGTGTAAGGCCCCACTGAGCTACACATCTCTTTTGCAGAAGCGACCTGGCCACAAAAGATAGCTCAAAGACGTGGCTTATCACGTGGAAATGTACAGGAGCCAAATGAGGGAAAACCCGGAGGACCCGTTGAAAAATCCACGCGACCACGGAGAGAGAGACACTCAAAGTCCAAATATACAGGCGTCGGGGTAGGGATCGAACCCACGACCTCCTGTATACCAGGTGAGGTAGTTAACATCTCGCCACCAAGGTACCTCGTTGCAGAACCTTTGCAACAAGAGGCGGACATGCTGCCCCAAGGCAGCGCCATCGCCCCATATTCATTTACATTCAAGCAACGGATCACCACATGCAGGTAAAGACAATGTACACTGTAGATGTAATTGCGATTGTGCGGTATGTGTGTGTGTACATCTGGTGCGGAGTGTAAACATCAGCACTGGCGAGATAAAGGCGGCCAGGAATGGTACTGGCCATATCACTCACTCATGGCGCCTATCCAGGCTAAACAGGGGTTATTTGTCTTTGCGTGCTATATGCGTGAGGGTATATGCGAGTGTGGCTATGTCTTTGTGTACATGTGTGCGGAACTCTGCGTATATGCTTATGTGGGTATATATATGAGCATGTGAATGAGAGCGTGTGAGTGACAGTGTATGAGTGCGGTTATATATGATTGTGGGCATATATGTGCGTGCGCATGCATGTGCGCATGCACGAGTGCGTGCGGCCATACACGTCCACACACGTCGGCATGAGAGTACGAGCGTACGTGCGTATTTGTACGTGCGTATTTGTACGTGCGTGCGTACGTGTGTGGCAACGCATGTGCTATGGTTTGTGCGCCTGCGCGTGCGTGTCGTGATTTACACTCACCATGGCTTGCTCGATTTTGTTGTCAATGGCAACCACGCTCGCACCGGAGGCACTGCAAAGCAAAGGAAATCACCGCGGTGAGATTGGCGCTCCGTACCCTCGCATCGCTCTCTCCGCGTCGCTCGCCTCGGCTCTCTCGCGACAGCCTCGTCCTTCGCTACTCCTGCCACCGTAGTCGTGTTATTATTATTATTATATAAGATTACGACTATCGCTATCATCACTACCGTCACCGCCGCCGCTGCTGCTCTTTGATACGAGTGTACAATTAAAATAAACAACGGAGGAGCCAAGGACGACGGTAATGCAGGGCGAGGCGGCTGGAGAACGCAACGCTCTCACACAGCACAGCCAACAACAAAGGCTTTCGATCAGCTCCTGCAAGAGGGGGGGGGTGACGTCACCACCACAACGCAGCCAAACAGCAGCAGGCGGAGCACAGCAGCAGCGGGAGCAGGAGGTGCAGGGGTCATCATCGCGAGAGAAAAAAACAAACCAGTAGCAGCAACAGTAACATCATCGACGGCAGCAGGAACAGCAGAACCAGCAGGAACATCAGTCAGCAGCACTACATCCTCAGCAGCAGCAATATCATGAACAGCAGGGGGTGAATGAACAGCAGCAGCAGTAGATGATGATGTTCATAATCAGCAGCAGCAAACGCAGCAGGCGTAGAAACAATCAGCAGCAGCAGTAGAAGACCCATCAACATCAGCAGGAGCAGAAACCATACCGAGTTAGGCATCAGTAATTGTATAAATAGCAGCAATAACAGACCCAGGATCATCAACAACAGCAGAAAAACAGGACTAAAAAACAGAGGCATCAGTGTTGTCGTATAAATATCAGCCAAGGCAGCAGTAGCAGGAACGGCACCTAAAGCAGGAGCATCAATAACAAGGTAAGTAGCAGCAGACACAGCCACAGCAACGTAACCAAAAGATCCGGCATCAGCAGCAGCAAACACAGCGCAAGCAGCAGCAGCAAAAATAGCAGCAGCAGCAGCAATAACGAGGAGCAACGTCAGTGACGGAGCAGCAGACGGGATAGAATGTCACTGCCCAACAAGACGAGAGCGGGCTCTGTATTGGTTGGCTTACAAGAGAAGCCATTGTGCTTAGAGGTGAATGCCACGCGGACTGGGACGGGTGACAAGAAGGGCCGATGGACGAGACCGGTGACAGAATGGCAGCCAAAGGTAGGAAGGTGGCCGTGAGGACGACCACCCCACAAGGTGGGGGGGGGGGGGAATTAGATCAGCTCAGGTGCAGCAGCGACATGGATTGTGGCGTCACATAACCACGAGCGAATGGCGTGTGGATAGATTGCACGATCGCGATGCATGTGTATACCCATATGTACGCAAACACGTACATACGTGTGTGCCCGAGAGGACGTACAGCATGTGTTTACGCGCGTGTATATTACGGAGCGATGCAATCCGTTCATGCGCAAGAGACCGACTGGCACTGTGGGCCCGCGAAGGATGCTGGCGGTACGGAAAGGCCTTCATCCAGCAGTTGATAGCCCATGGCTCACGTATGCATGTTGAACTTCTTTCACACCGTACGTAGCCAACCGTGCTATTCATGACGACGACAATGATGATGATGATGACAACGACGACGAATGTGCACGTGCGTGCCTTCATCCAACAGTGCAGAGACCGTGGCTAACGATGTCGGACACCTGGCGTGGCAGCTTTTAGAGAAGTGAAATCGATGGCCCCGGCCGGCATAGCCCCGCTCATTGCTCTACTCTACGCTGCACAAGACAGCACAAAGCAACAGCCCCGAGGGGGTAGGGGGGGGCTGTATCCATCACGACAGCGCACCACTGTTGTGGTGGCCGCCGCAGGCATTTTCGGTATTCGGCAATCGGTAACGCAAAACCCTGGGTGGTGGTGGCGGTCAACTGGCGGCAATGGCACACGCACAATAGCCTCGCAACAGCAGACACCGACAGCCGGGGGTGCACACGGCAGGAGAACACAAACAGCAACAGCCGAGGCTCACAACAATGGATAGAGCGACAGCGTGCACAGCAGCAACAACCGTCACACGCACCATAATGGACAACAGCAGTAAGAGACAACAGCAACGTCCAGGATATTTACAGCAATCCAGGAGTGAAGACACAAGGAGCAGTCACAGCCAGGATGAACGATGTTTAGAGACAATAGAAACCAGCCAGGACACACAACAATGGACACTGACAACAGACAATAACAACAGCCGGTAGATACAACAATGGACACTGACAGCAGACAATAACAACAGCCGGTAGATACAACAATGGACACTGACAACAGACAATAACAACAGCCGGTAGATACAACAATGGACACTGACAGCAGACAATAACAACAGCCGGTATACACAGCAATGGACACCAACAGCAGACAATAATAGCCGGTATATAGATCAATGGACACCAACAGCAAAACAATAGGTGGAATACACAGAATGAACAGCAGACAACAGCAAATGACACACAAACAGCACACATTAACAATACACACACAGCAGACAACAGCCACGGTTCCCACAGCAAACGACACAGCAGACAATAGACCACAACAACAGTCACACGCGCGCAGGGCAGGGCAAGGGATAGCAGCAACACGGCGAACAGAAAAACACGCCGAAACGCGGTCACAACAACAACAACAACAAACAGACAACAGCAGCGCCAGCAAAACAGTGGCAAGCACCGGCAAACGACAGCAGCCGACGATGCTGCTGCTGCTGATGATGATGGAAGCAGAGCCCCGGGGAACAGGCGCGCGACAGCGCTAGCAGCAGCAGCAGCAGCCGCCACGGCATCTGACCGAGCAGAGGAGGGGTCGGAGTTGGGTGGACTGCGCTTACGTCGGCGTCGAGGGGAGAGGGGGGTCACTGCGGACGAGCACGGGCGAGGATGCCGGCCAGCTCTTCTCGCCCGCGGCACGCCACAACACATCGGCACCCGCTCGATCGAGATCTTCCCCCACTCCGCGTGAGATCTCGCTCACTGCCTCGTCATTTCGAAGCACGGGCGGGTCCGTAAGAGTTGTGCGCGATGGGGAGGAGAGGGCGTGCGTTTGTGCGTGTGCGTGGGACGGGATGCACGACAGGGTGTGTGTGTGAGAGAGAGGTGTGTGTGTGTAAGTGAGGGAGAGGTGTGTGTGTGAGAGAGAGGTGTGTGTGTAAGTGAGGGAGAGGTGTGTGTGTGTGAGAGAGAGGTGTGTGTGTGTGAGAGAGAGGTGTGTTTGTAAGAGAGAGAGAGGTGTGTTTGTAAGAGAGAGAGAGGTGTGTGTGTGTGTAAGTGAGAGAGGTGTGTGTGTGTAAGTGAGAGAGGTGTGAGAGGGGGAGGTGTGTGTGAGAGATGTGTGTGAGTGAGTGAGGTGTGTGAGGTGTAGTGTGTAATTGAGAAAGGTGTGTGTGTGTGAGGTGTGTGTGTAAGTGAGAGAGGTGTGTGTGTGTAAGTGAGAGAGGTGTGTGTGTAAGTGTGAGGTGTGTGTAAGTGTGAGGTGTGTGTGTGTAAGTGTGAGGTGTGTGTAAGTGTGAGAGAGAGGTGTGTGTGCGAGAGGTGTGTGTGTAAGTGAGAGAGAGGTGAGTGTGTGTGTAAGTGTGAGGTGTGTGTAAGTGTGAGAGAGAGGTGTGTGTGTGAGAGGTGTGTGTGTAAGTGAGAGAGAGGTGAGTGTTTGTGCGACTGCGTGAGACGCGGCTGACACAAGCAGCTCGCGAACCCCCCCTGCCTTGGGAGCCAGGAACCGGTTCAAGCCGGTTCTCACGGGGTTGTGCGTGACGTCAGGGCCCCCCCCCCCCCCAGCGAGGAAGAATAAAACGATCGGCACGGTTCGCGATGCCGCAGCACCACCGACTGCCTCTCTCTCCGCTGCCCTCGTTGGTTCTCATCGCGAGCCGCGTGTGTCGCTGCGGACGTGGGCTTGTGGGGGAGTAACGTGAGGGGGGGTGGGGGAGTAACGTGAAGGGGGGGGGGCTCAGGTGCGTAGCTCAGGTGCGTAGCTCAGGTGCGTAGCTCAGGTGCGTAGCTCAGGTGCGTAGCTCAGGTGCGTAGCTCAGGTGCGTAGCTCAGGTGCGAGTGATTTCTTTGGGGGAGACAGTGGCAGAACGGGGCTTTTCATTCACAGGCAGCGTCAGGGCAAGGATGCCCCCCCCCGACCCAGATTGGGGCACAATAACTTGGGGACCCCCCCCCCCCTCGTGCCTGGAGTTACCGACACCACAGGTTGGAGGAGAAACCCAGTCACAGTACTGTGTGGCCACAGGGTGCGGTCAACCGGTAGAAGGGCATTACTATTTGACTCCCACCAATACCACACCACCCAAAACTGATTCTATGGATTGTGGTGACGATTCAAGATTCGAGGCGTTTTTGGTAAGCACAACATATTGACATTAGAAAGACGAATCATTGAGAACCCTGCTGCTTTCGCCATTCATCGTCAGCTTAAGAATCAATTTTAATCAAGGAGACAGCGCACGCATTGTGCACATACAGTCCGAGAGGCCCTGACATGGAGTACTACACAACAGGGTACCTTACCATAGTCATAGTACTACCATGGTAGAACAAAGTACCCTTGGTACCATCAGTCCTCTGGTACTAATACCCATAACTACAGATTAAGCTGATCTAACCCACAACACCTGTGTTGTGGAAATTGGTCGTTAAAGCCTACACGTGTTAAACAGGTACTAATACCGACTGTCAGGGAACGCGTGCCGAGGTCAAAGTTCAACACTTGGAGCACCAAACCACAGAGAGCCCAGCAAGAGACACGCCGGCAATGATACCACAGCACTTTCGGTCATGGTCATCACGCTCATGATGTGCCTGAAGGACAGGCGGATTATACGAGGCATGTTGTGCCGTACAGTGCCGCGTGTAGCTATGCGCGAACATTAATGTTGTTATTGTCGATTATATTTGGCTTGTTTCGCCGCTCCCCGAATCGTCTGGTCCTGGCGCGGGACCAGCTCGCTGAAATATTAATGACGACCGGAGACGGAGGAGGGTGTTCCGACAAAACAACCGGAGTGATGC